CAAGCCGGAGAAAAACGGCAAACAAGCCAAACTGGACAGGACCAGACACGAGACCCGCAATGTTGGACTGCGTGAGTTGGTAGATGACGAGCTGACCAGGTGTGTAGCTAAAGCCAAAGAGCTCGCTCCACATGGCGCCGAGCATGAGCAGCCGTCGCGGGTCTCGGTACGACTTGCCAAAGATGACGCGCTTCCGACGCGCGACAACGACACCGAGAGCTACGCCATGTTGCTATATACATAGTATAGTACGAAGAGGCGTAGTACCTTGGGTCTGAATGTCGTGAAGCTCGTCGGCTGTGCTGTCGAGGTCGTGGAAGAGGTTGTAGTGGTACTGCGCACACGCGGTGAGGCTCAGAAAGACGAGCCACAAGGCGGCCGGCGCAATGTGGTGGTAGCCACCGAGCCCGCAGCACGACCAGAGTGCGGCGGTTGGCGCCAAGCAGACTCGACGCGGGAGCAAGACGCCGCCACAGACTACCGTGTCATTCCCACTCATCAGCCCATTAATCTATCTATTTGGTTCTGATAAAGTTGCCTCGTCTATATATACAAGAGAGTAATATCCTAGTTTCAAACGGCAATTGTGTGACGTCAGGGCGGTCCCGTTTGTTCTGCATTGAGTCAGGATATAATATATCCTGACGGACTGAAGCATGACCCGATATTACTTTAGATGGGGGGTCCATCGAGGAGACATCGCAGCGGCGGCCGCATGTAGGACTACCACGGCGACGGCAAAACGTACACCATACCTGGCAGGTGAGACGAGGCCATTGCAGTAGCCACTTTCAAGCCGAGGCGCTTAAACCTGCAAGCAGCGGTTCGATGCTGGCCCTAGTCGACACCACTCGGCCAGAGCAATGTGCCTGCATGAGTGCTCTCATGTTTGCGTGTGCCTCGGGTTTAATGCCTTGGGTGTCCGGTAGGCCCTTCTAAGCTGACCTGCAACAGCCCTTGCAGGTACCGTAGCCGGTCGAAGACAACTACCTCAATGAACGTGGATGCATTCGTCTCTTAGAGCGCCGAGGTGCCGACGACGTGGTTAACGAGCGAACCAATGTGTTCGATGCGAATCTCGACTGTGTCGCCGGCCTTGAGGTAGAGCGGCGGCTTGCGCGTAAAGCCCACGCCCTAGACATCCCGCCATGAATATACACGTGGCGGATCGTGAGGATCGAAGAACGTACCTCGGGCGTGCCGGTGAGGATGACAGTGCCCGCGGGCAGCGTCGTGTCCTGCGACAGCTGACTAATGAGCTCTGCGACGGAGAAGATCATGTCTTGCGTCGACGATGACTGCACGCACGCTCCGTTCAAGTACGTTTCAATGCGCAGGTTTTGCGGGTCGGGGATCGATGCTGCCGGCACCAAGCACGGCCCGAGTGGGCAAAAGGTGTCAAACGACTTGGCGCGGCACCACTGGCCACCGCCCTTAGGCACGCCCTGCCACCGACGCGCCGAGACATCGTTGGCACACTAGTAGTACGATGGCAGCATCGTCTGCTGCGTGCACTGTATCGAGGGAGACGCACCGTGTAGCCCGCGACGTAGCGCAGCGCGTCGTCGACCGAGACGTTGCGGCAGTCGGCGTTGAGCACGACCGCGAGTTCGCACTCGTAGTCGACTTCGAGTGGGTCGCTTGCGATGCGCGGCAGCACGATCGGCATCTCCGGGTCCGTCACCGCGTTGACGTTCTTGAAAAAGACGACGGGGTGGGTCGGGATCGGCATGTTGGTTTCCTTGGCGTGGTTGCGGTAGTTGAGGCCGATGCCAATGATCTGCGTCGGCTGGACCGGCGCGAGGATCCGGCGCACCTGCGCGACCTCGGACGTCAGCGCGAGCGACCCCAAGACGTTGTCCGCCGCGAGCACCTGCGCTGTGGCGCTGCTGGGCGTGGCCTGCTGGCCCAAGCGCACAGCGCCATGCTCATCGCGGAAGCGGACAATGCGCGTGGCTGTCGACATGGCCCGGCGAAGCGACACTCGAGAAATGACCTGCTGCATCTGGGTGCTCACTGCCAGCGGGACGCAATCCGGTCGTTCGTGTCCGGTTACGAGCCGGATAGAGCAAGCGAGCCACAAGATTTTACGCCATGGAATGCCCCAATGTCCCAAACGACGATCGGTTTATCCCATTCCTTGAAAAATGGTAGGTCCTCTTGGGACATTTGCTGCACGAGTGGGCAAAACAGTTGTTCCCACACATGTGTCCATACAAACCGCAAGTACAGGTGTATCTGTTTTAATCGTATCAAAAATGCTTTTTATTTTATGGATCCCATGACTCGAGATCAGTCCTTCTTGCGAGCTTGCAGCGCCGCTAGGAGGCTCATGGGCACACCGCCGCCCATCGGCGTCGGGCGCTGGGGCTTCGCAGGGGCCTTGCGCGCAGTCGGGAGCGCTGGCTTGGCCACGACGACCGCTGGGGCCTCGACCGGCACAACGTCGGCGGCCGACGGGAAGATGGCGCCGCTCGGAAACCCCCACGACGTCGCGTACACGTCGGCGGCCTTTTGCTCCAGATGGCCGGGGCAGCGGGCCTTGAGCTCGCAGGTGTGGTCAGGCCCAATGTGGGCCTCGATGGCCGCGACGTCACGCATGAGGCCGTCGCGAAGGCTCTTGAACCACTTGAACTTGTCGCCAAAGTTCTTGTTCTTGTCCTGCTTTTGCCACTCGGCTGCAATGTCGAAAAGGGCAGCGTAAAGCGCTTGGCGCTCGAGGAGGCAGAGCTTGTTGAACGGCAGCTTCACGAGCTCGCAAGGATGGACGACGAGGATCTTTTGCGGCTCGACGCGCAGGAGGTGGAGCACTTTCAGCGTCTTGAGGCGGCGCGCCACGACTGGCGCATCCGGGCGAGAAGTCTGCGCCTGCAAATGCGCCACGAGTGCGTCCTTGGAGAGATTGGCCACGTGCACGGGAATGCCTTGGCGTACCGAGCGTAGCGCGGCCTCGTGCGTCGCAAGGTACTTGGTATGCCACGCGATCTCGGCCTCGCGGATCTCGGCTTCGTACTCTTCGGACGCCATCATGGCCACGTAGCACTTTTCCATCTCTTGCTCGAGCGTAAAGTATTCGCCTTGCAGCGCGGCTTGGACCGCCTTGTCCTGGTGTTGCACGTCGCTCGACCCAATCTCGGCCATGCGCCGCGAGATCGATGTCATGGACGCCTTGGCGTCCGCGTACGACATGTTGTCGGCGACCTGCATGCCGGCTTGCTCGAGCTGCCGCTTCAAGCGCCGGTTCTCCTTCTCGAGGTCGCTCACGGGCCGCGCGGGCGTCTCGCGCTGGAGGGTCTCGAGCTGCCGCTTGGCCGTCGCGAGTTGGCCTTCAAGCGTAGCGACGCGGGCGTTGGTGGCGTCGAGCGCAGGCGCCTCGCCGCCGCTGGCACATCGCTTGCACGCCACAGGTGACACTGGCGCACGCTTGATCGGCGCATCCGGACAGAGCTCTTGTGCTGCGCTCAGCGACAGGCCGCGCTGCGCGGGCGGGATCTCCCACACGATGGCGTGCCGGGACGGCGGCAGCGGGTGCAAGCACAGCGTACACTCGTCGTCGCGCGCGCGGTAGCCGCACTTGAGCTTGGCCTTGGTGAGCGCGTAGCACTTGGCGCACGCGGCGAGGTCGCACTCGTCGCACTTGTGGCGCTTCTGGGCAAAGCCAAAGCTGTAGCCGCAGACGTCGCACTCGCTACGCGTTGCATCGAGCCAGCATGAGGAGACCAAGTAACATGCATGGAATCGTTGTACCGGGCCTTGCCGACGATGCGGTCCAAGAGGCCCGCAATGAGCTTGGTCTCGTCCGTCTTCTTGGCCATATTGCGCTCCTTCTGAACTCTGCGAAATGGCTTTTCCCAAAATGCCTTTACACACGCGCCGATGAATAGGACACACAACGACGTGGCTCGATCCAACCCGGTATTATAAGGGTACTTTGGCTACTACACTAGAGACAGGACGCGCACGGGCGGCGTCGATCGCGGCGTCGAGGCTCGCGTTCATGCCGCCTCGGAACATGGCATTGCGGACGATGCGAATGTGCTGCGCGAGCTGCGACAGCTGGTCCTCAGCACACGACGTCGGTGGCACGAGCACGTTGAACTGCCGCGCCTCGACGTCCGGCGCCACAAACCCGTCGCGCGTGTAGGCGTGTGTGTTGATGTTGAGCTGCCGGACGAGCGTCGTCGTTGCATCCACGGCGGTCACGACGACCCTACCCCGCACTCGCATGAGAAAAAGAACGATGCGAAGGGCGTCCTACACGTTGCAGCGGACCCGTTCCATGGACGTTGTTGCGTGGCGTGGGTCGTTGTGCACGCTTTGGCCGACGATGACGAGCTCGTGCGGCTTGCGGTACGTGCGCCAGACCTTGTTGTCGACCCACGGCGCGCCATCGCGCGTGCAGGCGCCTTGCGAGTAGACGATCTCTTCGTCCATGAGCGACGTAATCTAGAGGCAGACATCGATGCATTCCAAGCGTAGAAGCAATGGATGATTACATGAGCGTCGAGTGCGCTCCGTCCCGAGAGCACAAAGTCCCGGGCGCCTGTCGTGCAGAGGACCTCGAACGCGCTGCAGACTGCGGCAAACGGCGCAGAGACGCGTCGCTGGTACTTGGTGAAGTACTCGTGCGTGCCGTTCTCTGTTGTGTGGACGGTAATCTCACCAAACGTCACATTTTGCTCGCCCTTGTACAAGCCATGCTCATGGAGCAAATGCTCCGCGTGGTGGTACAACCGGTCCGTGATCCACTTGAAGCCGAGCTGGCGCGCCTCCCAGGACGCCGGCAATGTCGCAGGCGCCATGCTAAAGTACCGTTCCCGCGGCGCATGCTACACCGACAAGCACTCAGGTTCGTAAGAAGGAGAAGGCGCACGGACCGGTATCGTTCGACGCACCCAGGCGTGCATGGTCTGCGCCAACACCCGCGCGCGCGCCACGTCGCTCCGCAGCGCGCGGTTCGTGTGCAGCGTCGCCTCAGTCGACTTGCTCAAGGCGGCGGCGACGTCGGCCCACGGCAACGGCCCGGTCGCGGCGCGGCGCAGCGTCGTCGTCTCGAGCTCGAGGTCGTAGATGGTCCTGTGCAGCGATTGGAGCTCGTCCTCGATCTTCTTACGGAACGCGCGCTGCTTCATGCGGTTGTACGCGCGCTTCTCGGCCTTCTTGGCGTCGACCTCCATGGCGAGGACCTCGGACCGCATGCCTCGTCGTGGGTATCAGCGTGTGGCACATGCCACCAAAGGCGCCGAAAACAGCTGCCTTTTTCCGAGAAAGGGCAAAGTGAGCCAAGGCAGAGAGCCGCCGCGTCCACAGACCACAGCTTTCGAGTCTCGGTACCAGAGACCAAGAGGACTGTAGAATAGACGAGTAGTCGTAATCGTTAGGACATGGCAGCAGCGTTGTGGCGTCGTGGATGCAGCCAACGGCACGCGTCCTCGGTGCGGCCAAGTGGTGCGGGAAGGACAAAGGAAGGCGGTATTCGCACCATGTGCTACCATGCGTGCTTGGCAGACAAGTCGATGACGTGAGTATTCCACTGCAGTAGAAATCAGGTTGGCGGCGTTCGAGCCACAGGAAACATGGGAAGATACCAAACGTTGGATTTGCTTCGTATCTCATCCTGGCTGTGCGCCTCGTCATCATCCGACGTGCCCGCATGTCGCGCCAAGGACCCCGTTCAGCTGCCAAAGGATGCATAATTGTCCAGCTAAACGGCTACACCAACAAGTAGTATACCATTACGCGGTCGCACCCACGGAGCGCCACAGTACGTCGCCACCATGGCGTGTACCTCGACGGCGTGTCATGAAGTCCATCGCCTTGTCCGCTCCAACGGCCACCACCACGTGTTGCGCCGTCGTCCGAGCTGCTGTTGAGTCGATCGTTTCGTCGCACGCTGCACCTACAACAGCGCCTGGAGACGTGCCTGTCTATGCCGACTGGCACCGTACGTACCCTTGTGGTTGAGGACAAGTAGTGTTACATCGTCGGTTTAACGCGGTACTCGCAGCATGGCCGACGACGACGCACGTCGGCTCGCCAAGCGTCTCTACAACCGACGCAAGCAGCGCGAGTTCCGTGAGCGCCTCGAACGCAGGCTCTCGGAGCTGCGCGCGCTCGTGAGCACACTGGAAGCCGAGCTCGATCGACGAAAGCCGCAAAAGAACGGCAGCGCGCTACTGCTGCCGTGGGCCGACGTGGCGTCGGCTCTAGCATCGGCCGCCGCCGAAGCGTCGCGCTCGCACCACCACCTACGCGTCCACGCCGAGCGCCTCGAGACCGTCTACCGCACTCTCCACACGTGGGTGCACCAACCTGCTATCATCCACGTACTAGCACTACGTCCGAGAGCGACCGACTACTAACGTCCTATACGACGTAGCCAGCATGCTACGCCGTCCACGAAAGGCGCGTCTTTACCAGCACCCGCGTCGGCCTTGCCATCGACCTGAACGTCCGACGCCTCAGCTGCGAGTGGCTTCTCGACCGGCTCTACCATAACGCCGAAGCACTCCTGGAGGCGCACGGGCTACCGCGCGGCGCGCCACCGTCGCATGCAACCAACGCCGAGTTCTTATTTGATGTCACGGACGCCGGCACGCACCAATACGCGACCGCGCGGCAACATGTTCTGCGCACGTCGCTGGATCACGTCGCCAGCGCGTACACGCTCATGGGCCGCGACGGCGACGGCGACAGCAGCGTTGCGCTCGCTGGTCGGCGCGTCCTCGACCCCGAGGTATTCCCTCCAAACACAACACCCGCCCCTACCCTACCCCTACCTACGGTTAGCTGATCGCGATGCTCGCCGACAAGAACATTGTGTACTCCCAGTCCATGTACACCCGCCACGGCGCACCATGGCGCGACAACCGCCTCTGGCGCGTGTATGCATCGCCCGACAGCGTCGTCGTCGTGAGCCAAAACGTCCACGACGACCCGCTGAACCCGGTCACGCCGCTTCAGCGCTTCCGCTACGTCATGTACGCCTGGCCATAGCTCCGTGTGTGGCATGATCAACATGGAGTAGCATCGCAGTCGACGCCATCGATGGCCAACGCGTCCGGATCCGAGAGCTCAAGTACTGCTCGCAGTCGTTTGACGCGACAGCCTTTGTGCCACTGCCCATCGAGGCGCTGCAGTTTGGCATCGACGTGCGATCGGTCGCCGCCGCCGACGCCCAGCAAAGCGCGCTGCTCGAGTGCGTGCATCGCGACGTGACGTCGTTTGAAGCGTCGTGGGCCCGCGCGTTCGAGACCGCCCTTCGGCGGACGCAGCGCGAGAGAGCAACAAGAGACACCACACAATAGACAATACTAGTATGGTTGTATGTATCTCTGCCCAGCCGCTCAGCGTGGACTCCACATGCCAAGACGCGTGTCAAACTGCATGCGCATAAACTTGTAGTAGCGTACGACGAGCTTGTGGTCGTGGGCTTTGACGAGCTCGTCCATGCACACGACAACCAGTGGCCACACGCCAAGCGCTGCCCAGCAGTACCACGGCACATGCCTCAGAAACTCATCGAGGTCGACGCCGTCGACACCGACGCGGCCCATGCGCAGAACCGATATCGCCATCTACATGATATCGATAAGAACGCAGAACAATTTGGCAGAGGACCTGCAACAGCAAGAGCACACAAGAGGCGACGAGCCACGGCCGGTTGCGCAGCGGCGACTCGGCAAAGAGGCTGTCGGAGCGGTAGAGGTGGCCGCTGCTCGTCACGATCGCAAACACGCCAATGCCAAAGAGCATCATGCCCTCCGCGCGGTCCAAGGCCGCGTTGATGGCCGGCGGCCGCGGGTGCGTAAACAACGCCTCGTCGTGCCACGCGTGGTCCCACCACGCACTCGAGAGCGCGTTGGGATCGCCACGACGCATCGCCGTCATATGCAGCGAGAGGCCAAAGACGCACTGGAAGAGGACGAGCACGAAGAGCGCGGACGGCACATAGCGCAGGCCAAAGTAGACGCAAATGCGAGACACGGGCACTTCGCTCCAATCAAGCGGCTCGTTCTTGGGCGGCGTGCGCGACATGAGCGCGCGGTGCGGCGGCGACGAGAGCATGCACAGCGAGAGCGTCGGCACGAGCAGCCAGAGCAGCCACAGAATCGACATGACGCTGAGCTGCGCGACTTCCGGGAACGGCGCGAGGTACGCAAGCACCAAGACCGTCGCGACAAAGAGCTGCATCACAAAGATATACGTCACGAGCTGCGTAAAGTTGGTCAAGAGCAGTCGACCGAGACGAATGAGCTCGATGAGCACGACCGGCGACGCGCGCGAGAGGCCAAAGTCCCGTACCGTAAAGCAGCACGTAAGGGTGTTGAGGATCTGGCTCAGCTCCATGTCGGCGTCGGAAAAGACGGGTAAGAACGGACCCTTTGGGAGCTCGTCTCCAAACAGCGTCTTTGGGTTGCCCTCGAACGCGACCGCGAGGTCTGCTTTCGAGAAGAGCGACACGTTGCTCTCGCGCAGGGACGTGCCGACGCCAAGGACGACCTCGTGGTTCTCCTGGAAGATACCAATCATCTCTTCGATCGTCTCGGGCGTGCTGTCCGTGTAGAGCGACACGAGCAGCGGCACATTGTCGACCGTCTCGAGGTGCCGACGGATCGCTGCCGTGCCTACGCGCGATATGCGACATGTACATCATATTCGTAAAAATGAATTACCGTGCGGTAAACGGGCTTTGACGTCCCAGTCCGAGTAGTTGGACGTCATGCGGTGCGGGTCCGGACCCTCCGAGTCGCGCAAACTTATCGCGCAGTTCCAATCGGTTTCGATGCCCATCTTCTCCGCGAGCAGCTTGGACCGGCGCATGTTGCGCGGCGAAAAGTACACGAACCGGACGCCCGACGCCGTGAGGTCCTCAATGAGGTCGACGATGCCCTTGCGCGGCTGCACACCGGACGCGACCATGCCGAGAAAGATCTGGTCTTCCTGAAGCTTCCAGAGGTCGTCGCCGCCAGCGTGGCCCGTCGACGACGCGCCGTCATTGTTCCAGTGCACCGGGTACCGTTGCTGCGGCGTCGCTACACGTCATGATTCTTGCATCAGTGAACTCGTTCGATCTCTTTCGCCTACATGGACTTGTGTGCGCGCCGGCAAAGCGCGGCTCGGTCGCATGGGCGCGCGCGGGCGACGAGGTCGACGTGCATGGCTGCTTCGGGTCCATGGTGAGCTCGCCGGCCGCGTGGTCTTCGACGAGAAACACCGATGGCAGCGTCGAGGCGCTCGAGGCGAAGAGAGGATTGAACTTTTGCGCCACCGGCGCATACGTCAGCGCAACGCAGTCCAAGTCCTCGACGCGCCACTGGTTGTACATGTCGAGGATCAGCCGGCGCTTCTCGCTGCTGAGCGGACAAATGGATTTGCCGTCCCAGTACTCGCCGCATTGCGACACGACGAGCGACGGGTGCCCGCGCGAGAGGAGCTGGTGGCCATGCGACCGTTTGTCGAGCACGACGTTCGAGTACAAGTGCGTTTTGAGGTAGCCACGGTACCGAGTGTCTTCTTGCCCTTGGGCGTGGTGGTCCATTGTATGTTCTTCGATCGCCAAGCGCGGCGCAATCACGTGCACGGACCGGCGTCTCTGGAATTTGTCCAAATCGGCCGGCTGAAACCCAATCTCGCTATCTCAATTGTGTTTTATTTGAGCAAAAAGAGGTACATACCGTGCGAGGTTGAGGAGGTGCCGCGGGTACGGCAGCAAGCGAACATGCCCCGAGAGCTGGAGCAAGCACTGCTGAATGTCGGCTTGGTGGCTCAGCTGCACGTCGACGCCGGTTGGCAGTGTCGAGAGGTGCCGCAGTGTCGTCAAGTACTCGGTCTTGGGGTCTTCGCAGTCGTTCAGGAGGATGGCGAGGCCCAGTGGCTTGAGCGACGGAAGGTGGAGGCGCCATTTCGGGTCTTCAAATTTGAGGCCCGTCACGCACGACGCTTCCGGGTGCAAGTCGAGCACCGTCGAGTTGGTTGCTTCGTCGTTGAGGAGGAAAATCTCTTCGACACACGGCGCGTCTTCGCACAAGATGTCGTCGTCAAAGCAGCACAGCATGGTTGTGCTGCCGAGGCGCTCGAGCAGCCGCAGCCTAAACGAAGTGTCATCCCGTCGCCAAGGATGCGCAGCATTTTATACCCCGAGTACGGAATCGTGAGCTTGCTCTTCTTCCCATTATGGTACCGCGTGCGGTGCGCGTCCGTGCAGTCCATGCAGCGAAACTGGAGCGTCGACCAAAAGTAGTACCACGACCGCTCGACCGTAAAGGCCTTCTGGAGCTTGCTTGATCGAAACTGCTCGCGCTCCTCGACGTCGTACACGTCCATGTCGTCTTCGTCCAAAGGCGCTTGAAACGACGTGGTTTGCTCGGCAGCCAGAATCGCTTCAAAGGCCGTAAGGAGGTGCCCCGTCGCCGCGGCCTCGCCGAGAAACCACACAAACGGGGCGTGGAGCGAAACAAAGCAGAGGAGGAGACCGACGGGCCCGAGGCACAGATGGTTGACCGCGTGGTGCAGCGGTTCGGGCAGCACCCACGCGCGCACGACGATGCAGCCCAGAAGTATGAGGGCGAAGATGACGCACGTGTAGCGCGCACAGACATGGCCGGCGTCCTGCAGCGTCTGGAGCGCGGTGGATGGCCGCGCGACGTTGAAGATCGAGTTGAAAATGTCTTGGAGCACCGGCGTCTCTTCCATGACAAAGACGTGCATGTCGCCGCAGAGATGCAAGATGACGTCGGGCTGGAAGGTCGCGTCGATGCGCGGCGACTCGGTCACGCAGTTGGTCGACGAGAACGCGTCGACCTTTTGCCCGCGCGTGTATAGAATCGGCGTCGGCGACGTCGGGTACAAGAGGCGGACCTGGCCAGGCACGACGTCGCCGCTCATGAGTGCAATCACGTCGCCGTCGACGAGCAGGTTCATTGGCATCGACTGCCACTGTGAGTCGCGGTAGCACGCCACGTAGCACGACGACGGCGACAATTTGGCGTCCTTGCGCGACTCTTTTGGACTCGTCGGCGACGACGCTTTGTAGAGCACCTTGACTGCATACCGAACGCGCTCGGCCACTTCGCGCCGGTCGCGCCGCGAGAGCGCTGCGTTCAGAAGGCCGTTGAGCAGCGCGGCGATGCTAAGGAAGATGCCTTCAAACAGCTCCGTGTACCGCGGCGACTCGCCGTTTGTCGACCGACGCTGAGCATTCCAGACGTACGCAGCAAACCGCGTCGCGCTGCACAGCAGCAAGAGGAGCATGGAGGTGTCGATGATGCCAAAGAAGAGGCCACGTGGGTTACGCTGCGCTTCCGACGACGACAAGAGCTGCGACTCGATGGCGGCCAAAGCTGCTGTCTTGCCGCGGCTGTTGTGAGACCGATCGGCGCTGGCTTGAGCGGACTCGCGCCTGCTAGCGGCGGTATCGGCGGCTTACCTTCGTGCATCGAGTCGGTCCGCCACAGAGCCGAGAGCCGCAGGCTGTCAGACGACCGCGGCTCCAGAAGCGGCTGGTGCTCTCCCGACATCGCGCGAGGCTGCTGGCTCTGCCCGACTTGTCAATATCTATGCAATGCCACAGGTGCATACGTTGTCCGAGTATATAATATTGCACAGGTCTCTAGAAACACGCAACCTTGGCTCCATATTGTCCACACTACTTCACCTTGTAGCAGCAACCGTCAAAGGACACCACATCGTACTGTAGCATCATCTCAGCTGCGATAATCTAGAGGGAGACCTGGCCTATGTGGCAGATCTGGTCCCAAAAGGCTGCTCTGAAGACGGCGGCCAGTTTCTGGCGGGACAAGGTGTCGCATTACAATAGAAATCTAAGTGGCCATCATGGCGTCGTATCGGTCGTCTGGTCAATGAGTTGTGTCTGGAGCGTGTCCAGCTGCGCCTCGAGCTGCATCTCGCGCGCAACGCTCTGGCTTAACAGCTGCTCCAGATACCGGATCCGCGTCTTGTCGGGTACCATTTCGAGAGCCTCTCGCAGCGACGAGTCCTTGGACCGCTGTCGCGCACGCTCGGTCGCTTGCTGCGGGTACTGCGCGAGGGTTGCCTGCAGATTCGTGACGGTCTCCCGGTCCGGGCTCAGCGCTGCCGACGTCGCGGCCGCCGCAATCTTGTCCGAGACGGACACCGACGGCGTCTTGTTGCCGCGGGCCATGGACGCGCGGCGCGTCGACGGCCGGTAGTCGTCGTCGTCGTTGTCGCTCAACGACGACCCGTCCGAATTGTCGTTTAGATCTGTAATCTGCGTCGACGTGGTCGACGTAAAGCTCTCGGCAATGCGCAGATGGTCGCTGTTGTGCGTCGCGCCATGCCGCGGGTGGTGCTTCGGGTTTGCCTACATCCCATTTGTGTCACTTTCAATGTTGCAACGCTTCGTGTCGCGAGTACCTTGGAGAGCGGGTCGAGCGACTCGACGTACGCCGGGTGCATCTCGGGGTCCCAGCGAAAGAAGAGGGCTTCCCAGAGCACGACGCGCTTCAGGTTGGCCCGCGGGTACAAGACGCGCGACGTGGCTTGGTAGTTGAGGTTCGCGAACTTGGCCGGCGCTTCGAGAACGCACGTCCACACCGACTCGGTGCGCTGCCACATCATGTTGTCGGCGCGCTCCTTCTCGGTATTGTACAAGAACGTGCCAAAGAGGCCGGAGAAGATCGCGTCGACCACATGCAAGAGGAAGCGCTCGTTGAACTCGAACGCGGTCGGAAACTGGCGCGTCATTTGCCACACTGCGTCCAGAAACTGCAGAAAGACCGGCGACCGCTCGTTCGCGAGGTCGGACGCGTCCTTGCCGACGCCGACGCGGTCGTGGAACTTGTGGCCAAAGCTGCACCACTCTTTTTCGACCAGCGCCGCAAAGCCTCGGATCGTCCGGTAGTGCGGGTCCAGAATGAGCTCGGCAATGCCGCAGAGCTGCGGCGTGCGGTCCCACCCGTCACTGCAATGCACGAGGACGCTCGCGCCCTCTTCGTGCAAGATCTGCGCGATCCTCGACCCGCCCGAGAGAATCTTCATAATGTGCTTGAGCCAGCGCGTATCTGTCACAATATTGCGTTCAACTCCATCCGAAATCAAAAATATAGAGTGTGTACCGTGGAGCGAGCTGTGGAATTCCTTGTGGCCGTCGTCCGTGATGGTCGGGTGCACGAGGCCTACACACTTCGTCAATCGAGACGCGATCGCGAGCAGAAAGCGTACTCTGCAGCGCATCGATCGAGTCGCGCATCTTGTGGATGTTGGCAATTCCGAGAAACTCGACGACCGCGTTGTCGTAGTGCGACGACTGCTCGACGCCCTTCCCGACGAGCCGATTGCCTTGGGTCGCAATGACCTTGCGCGCGTCGACAATGTGCAGAGGCGGCGCCAGTCCCGCCGACGTCTTCTTCGCCGCGTCGCGGTAGGCCTTGAGGAGCTGTCGATCAGCCTCGCAGCGCTTGCTCTGGAGGCCGTACATGGGCTGCGACGACCGCGAGAGCACGCACTTGTTGTCCGGATGGCGCCAGACCGCGATCGGGAGGCGGCCGCGGGATCGGAACTTGACGCTTGACACGAGCTGGTCCTTGTCGAGGTTGAAGGGCACGACCATGAGCTGCGGATACGTCGGGCTAAAGAGGAACCGCGTGTTCTTAAGGAGGCGCCACGGCATACTGTTTTGCGACTCGAGAAACCCGAGCCGCTTGTACTCTTCGACGGGCGAGTAGACGAGCCAGCCGTCCACGTCCCGCGGCAGCTCGACGCCACCCCGCTTGGCGCTGTGGTACGTAAAGGCAAAGACGCTGCTGACCGAGAGCGGCGGCCGCAGTTTCGACATGAACATTTGGATAAAATGGCCTTGGACCGGCTGCGGCTGCTCGTTGTAGTTGATCTTGCGCGTCACCGCGTCGTGCATCGAGAGGCAGATCTTGCGTAGATCCTTGCACGCGATGACGATCTTCAGGCCTTCGTACTTGGTTCTTTGATGGCCGCCAACGGCACCTCGAACGACCCGTACAAGAGCGACGGGTCGTACGGGAAAAAGACTGCGCGGAAGTTGGTCATGATGAGCTCGCCTTGGACGGCGCGCTCCTTCTGTGCAATAATGACGAGGTTGGTCACGCGCTGGACCTTTTGGTTGATCTCTTCGCCAGGCAGCTTGTCGAGCTCGGTTTCCGTGTCGGGCATCGAGTACGACCCGCCTTGGCCCGAGTCCCACGCAGTCTCGCCATCGTCATCGTCGTCGGCGCACGCATCCAGCTTCTTAGCGGACTTGTACTTGATCTTGCCGACCTCGAGGGTTTCCATGAAGCGCTGCCGGTCGTCCAAGCTGAAGAAGGCAATCTTGCGCGTGATCGGCGCCGCCTGTCCTTGCTGGATGTTGAGGTGCAGCCCGAGCTTCGAGCTCTCTTTGGCCGTAATCGCAGCACACGAGAACTCTTCCTTCTCGTTGGCATTGTTGGTCACGTGGAAGGCGAGCATGCGGCTCTCCGTGTCGATCGAGATGCGCACGGACGACTTCTTACTAAGGTTGTCGATGAGAAAGTTGTCGGCCTTCTTGACCGTGAACGTATGGATTGTCTCTTCCGACTTTGTCCCGGCGCTCACGCTGCGCGAGAGGCCAAAAATGTTGAGCGTCGGCAAAGCCTTGCGCGGCCCGGAAGCATACGATGTTGACGACGACGAGCTCGGCGCGGCTGCTTCCTGGCTTTCCATCGAGTCGAGCGTGAAGGACCCGCGCGCGTATGGCTCCTCCGAGCGCGGGATCTCGAAATTGAGGCTCGCGGGCGTCGCCATTGCCGTGTAGCTCGAGTGACGTGCCATGGGTTTCGACTCGGTGAGGTGCTCGGGCGGCGTTGTGTACAGCGGGCCCGACGATGGCGCCGGCGGGTACACGTCATCAGCCTTGGGCTTGCCATGGCTCGTCATCATGTTCCATGCCTCCAGCGTGGCCTGGCCGGCCTTGAGCACGCTCTTCTCGGCCTGCAGGAGGCGCTCCATGGTCATGCCATCGAAGGAGCTCGACGGCCGGTCGTCCTCGTCGGCCGCAGCGTACGCAGCAGCGGAAGATGCCATCGATCGGCCGCAGGAGGTCACAATCGCCGTTATGACTAACACACCCTTCGCCTCGTGTGAGTAATCACCGACCATACTCAAACCAAGTATGGACCGAACCGGCGTTCTCCATATATAAAGGCGACCCAATCAGCGGCCGCGGGAGAGACCTCCTGACCAATCCCCGACCAGCACACATTATCCGGTCTACTCCGGATAGTTGCATTTATGATGACCACGACGAGATGACCAGGACGAGGGCCGTTGCCATGACCACGCGCGCCGCTCCCCATGGCCTTGCATGCCAATGATATGCATGTCCTAGCTACTAACGGCGACGACGGCTACTTGTGCAGCATCTATGTGAGGCCGTCGCATGCGAGACGGTAGCCATAGTACGACGTACTCCCAATGCACTCGCTAGTGCTCGTGGCATCGCGACGGTAGTAGCGTCTGGTCGGGCGTGGCACCGGCGCCATTACGAGGATGCGTGTGTGACGCTTGCCAGCACAGTACTCCTCGACAGAGTGAGCCATGCCTGACCGTGAAGAAGGCGAGGCAAGATGCGAACTAGCAACACGCGGCTTTGTCGCTTCAACTTGTAAGAAGCGTTTGCATTATGATTGCGACCGAAAGTCCGAGCGCTTGCCACCGACGCAGTACGGACAGCTCACGCCGTGACGAAAGTCCGAGGACGCTTGCTCGGCCGCCGTGAGCGGACTCCGGCACACAAAGCACATGGCAATGTCGGTGGCCTTGGTAAGCGCCGGCGTGAGCGCGACCCGGTCGTCGTAGATGTAGCAGTCGCCGTTGTAGTGCGCGCCGCCGCAGTCTTCAAAGTACTTGAGGATGCCGCCGTCGAGCTGGTACACGTTCGTGTGACCATCTGCGAGGAGAGCGTACGAGGCCTTCTCGCAGCGCACGCCGCCCGTGCAAAACATCACAATTGGCTTTTCCTTGGGAATAGTCTCGAGCTTGGCTTTGGCCACGGTAGGAAAGGCGCGAAGGCTCTTGATGTCGAGGTCGATCGCATCGTCGAACGTGCCAAGCCGCACCTCATAGTCGTTCCTAATCGACTAAGACGCACGTTCATCGTCCGCGAAGCGTACCGCGTATCGAGAATGACCATATCCTTCTTCTGGTCCATCCAGGCTTTGAACTCGACCGGCGAAATGTGCGTCGCGAGCCCGTCGCGCGCCGGGTTGATACTGGGCATACCCATCGAGATGACTTCCTTCTTGATGCGCACGAGGAACTTGCGCAGCGTTGGCGCCGCACTCAGCGAGTCCTTGAAGACAATCGTGCCAATGTTGGGGTGCAGCGCACTCAAGACGGCTTGCATCGCATGCACAGCCAGCGTCGGGCCGCTCAGGCGGATGTTGAGGCCCTCTTGCGTGAGCAAGATGGTGCCAAAGAGGCTCGGCGAAATGGCAGCTGCCTGCGCTAGCAGGTGCGCGCGCAGAGCTGGGAGCTCGTCCGCGGCCAAGACGCCAAACTTGTACGCGGACGAGTTGGTGCACGCGCTGTCGTCCGCCATCGCCAGGAACGGGATGCTACAAAAAAGCCACGCGATCGCTGATTGGTCTGCGAGAAAGTGGCGCGGCACGATGATTGGTCCAGCGATATTTTCTTATGCAATCTATTCAGTATAGTAGAATCCATATAGAGATGCGATTTGTTTAAATATGCCAGCATGGGCTGATGGCTACGCAATCACTCGGCTGCCAGCGCCTTCAAGTTCAAGCAAGTTGTAGCTGCAAGATCGATGTACAGGTAACCACGAGAACCCTGCATGAATAACGTTATACAGTAATAGCTCTAGAGGTTCTACGGCGGCCTAGACAGAGAGCACGGCTATTACATGGACTCTAATATGACCGGCTTTACATTCTATACCACAGACGATGTACGATATCCTGAAGCATCGAGGCCCAGTCCGCGTGATAACGCCGCCACGCATACTATTATTAACTGTAAGTGCAAAAGCACAGAGGTACGTCAGGATACCTTTGCAGTAAGAAATGCATGCGTCCAGCTCCTCTATGCTGCGGTGACGATCGTGTCTTATAGCCGCTGCGGGCCGGCAGATTCTGGTATTCTCAGACACCAGATTTCGTGCACAGGGTATCTAGACGGGGGCGCCTGCAGCGACGCAACCAAGTCCCACAGCACCCATCACAGTCTCCACGATGCGCGGCCAGCGCGCTAAAATACGCGCCAACTCCAGCGGTCGACAAAAACATGCAATGTGGCTCAACCAATCGCATTGCGTTTTGCATGCAGGCGCGATGCTGATTGGTGCATCGAAAATCCACGCGGATTTCGACAGTCGGCTCCTTTTTATACGCCGTCGCCGGGCCCTCGCGCCTCGGCATTAATACACGATGACCGTCCATGGCCCATGGCGCTTCCGCGCGGTCGCTACGGCGCTGAGCCTGCTCTTTTGGCCACGATCTACGTCATATCGCCGTCATCGGATGTGGCCTCGTTCCGCCCCGCGTCCGTGCGCGCGTACTCGACGTCGCACCTCGCGTCGCTCCTGCGAGAGCTCCCGACCTTGCAGCAGCCGCTGGCGTACAAGAGCCACAACGGCGTGCTCGAGGTGACGCTGAGCGTCGAAGCGACGCGCTTTCACGATGGTCCGATTGCGTTCAACTCGCGCAGCTACAACGGCATGTTTCCCGGTCCGACGCTCTGCGCCAAGCCCGGCGACCTGCTGCGCATTACGTTGATCAACCAGCTCGAGCCCGACTTGCCCTCCGAGCACTTGCACATGAACACGTTTCGGGATCCGAACACGACGAATTTGCACTTTCATGGTATGCACGTCTCGCCGTCTGGCATTGCCGACAACGTCCTCCGCACGGTCAAGTCGGGCGAGTCGATGGAGCTCGTGGTCAAGATTCCCGAGAACCACCCGCTTGGTGTATTCCACTACCACCCGCACCACCACGGCTCGACGTTCTTGCAGATGGGCGGCGGCATGGTCGGCGCCATCTCGGTGCAGGAGACTCTTGACCACGTGGATACGCTACTGATCTTGCAAGCGTTTGCTTTCCGCGGTGGCATGCTCGCCAACCTCGTCAATGCGACGCACATCTCGCGCAGCACGATGCCGCTGGACGCCAAGCTCACGGCCCGCAGCCCCGAGCGCATGGCTGCCGTCTTCCCCGACTACCAGCCGCGCATGAGTGGCGTCCCCGGCGACTATCCGTCGTTTTACGTGGTCAATGGCCAGTACCAGCCGCGCATGACGCTCAGCGACGGTGAGCGCAAGCTCTTTCAGGTCATGAACGCGGGTCCGACCCAGATCCTGGAACTCTCGGTGCCCGGCTGCGACGTCGAGGTGCACGCCAAGGATGCGTTCCCGCCCGCAATCTCGACGCCCGACTATATCATTTTGACGCCGGGCGCGCGCGTCGCGCTTAGCATCGTCTGCCACTTGAACGGTACTAGTGTCCATTGGCCGAGTGTGGCCTTTCTGAGATTGCACGGTAGGGGCAAAGTCGGGTGTGTTTCCGTTCGTCTCAATGCCGCACAGTGAAAGCCAAGAGTACATGGGCCGCCTCACTGACGTCTACCACGGCGTCCTCGGCCTCTTTGAAGTCTACGCGAGCAACGGCGCCTCGCCCTTCACGCCGCCGCACGTCAAGCGCGGCAAGAACCTCATGCCGATTACACACGAGGACGAGCACATTGAGCGCTTCCACATTACGTTTTCGTCAGGGCCCGCGACGCTCCGGGACGGCACCATGTACAAGTCGTACTTTATGAACGACCGCCTCTTCTCGGTCGACCACCGCTACAAGATGAAGCTCAACGTCCTCCACGAGTGGACGCTCGAGAACGTGTTGTCGCCGGACGAGAAGAACCACCCGTTCCACTTGCACTCGAATCCGTTCCAGATTGTGGCGATGACGCACGGCCACGGCCTCGACTACTCGGTCGGCGACTGGCGCGACACGATCACACTACCGTACGGCGGCAACGTCACAATCCGGTTCCGGCCATTGGATTTCACAGGCCTCGTGGCGGCACACTGCCACATCCTTGGCCACGCCGACGTGGGCATGGCGCTCCTTGTCGAAATCCAGCCCTAACCGCCCCTTTTTATTACTATCTAATATACCATCAAATACTACGGCGTGCTGTTGACACTGTGCACCAAATGTCTTGTAAAAGAGAGGCCTGAGGTGCATCGTCGGTCAGTGATCGTCGGTAGTAGAAAAGCTGTGCCGCAATGGATGGATATTGCCTCTGCGACTTGTTGCGCCACAAACTTAAGAGCAACGAGCTGTAAATGCACCTGTATTGACGGCTAGTTGCTGCAGTGTTGTGTGTGCTGGTGCCAACTTCAATGTTACGACGCTTCTGGTTGTTCCTAGCGGTGCCGAATAGAGCCCAGTGTTTTTCGTTACGACACCTCGTGGTCATGCAACTAGAGCCAATGATCACATCGCTTGAGATGCGTTGCATACCACGCGCTCGCGGCAAGGTGGTCGGTGCTCGTGTCGCGTCCATGCACCAACCGAGCTCGAAATGGCGCGTCTCGACCAATCGGCAACCGCCAAATGCTCCTATTGGTTGAAAAGGCGAAGCCAGGCGCCTTCGACAGGCATTCGAATTTCGCAATAAGAAGATACGCTAAGGTCTCACTTTGCCTTTTGCCATGTACGGAGCGATCGAGATCCGCGAGCGCAAAGACCCGTTCCGCGTCTTCATCGCACTCCTCTCGGTGCTCTGCCTCGGCACGCTCTACGTTCTGTACCCGCACCTCGACCTCGCGGCCTACAACGCGCCCGTGGTGCAGAACTTTACCTCGGCATCGCTCCTGGCACTGGCGCGGGACCTCCCGTCGCTGCCATCGCCGCCCGTGTACAAGAGCCACAACGGTGTGCTCGAAATCACTCTCACAGTCCAAACGGCCCGCTTTACGAACGGGCCGGTGGCGTTCAACACACGCAGCTACAATGGCATGTTTCCCGGCCCGACGCTCTGCGCCAAGCCGGGTGACACGCTGCGCATCACGCTCATCAACCAGCTCGAGATGGACGCACCGTCCGAGGGACTGCACATGAACACGCTGCGGGACCCGAACACGACCAACATTCACTTTCACGGCATGCACGTGTCCCCGTCCGGCGTCGCGGACAACGTGATGCGCGCGCTCAAGCCGGGTGAGTCGATGGAGGTCATCGTCAAGATCCCGGACGACCACCCGCTCGGTGTGTACCACTACCACCCGCACCACCACGGGTCGGTGTTTCTACAGATGGGCGGCGGCATGGTCGGCGCCATCTCGATCCAAGACAGCGTCGACGACGTCGACAACGTCCTCGTGCTGCAAGCGTACGGCTTTAAAGGTGGGATGCTCGGCAACCTCATTGGCGCCGCCAACGTCTCCAAGAGTACGCTGCCCATTGACGCGCAGCTCACCAACATGAGCCACAAGCGCGTCTCGGACGCGTTTCCAGACTACCAGCCGCGCTTCAGCGCACCGGCGACAGCGTACCCGTCATTTTACACGGTCAACGGCCAGTACCACCCGCGCCTGACGCTTCATGACGGCGAGCGCAAGCTCTTTCGGCTCATCAACGCCGGCCCCACGCAGATCGTGGAGCTGTCGGTGCCCGGCTGCGACGTCGAGGTGTTTGCAAAGGACGTCTTCCCGCCCGCCGAGACGAAGCCCGAATTCATCATTGTCTCGCCGGGCGCCCGCGTCGCGTTCACGGTGCAGTGCCACCTTGACGGTACCCGCCTTGTCCTCGATACGACCGAACCGCATTCAAGCATGATGCTACCTAGGTCGTCCCATGGGCCTCTTTCCGCTCGTGTCGTCGCCGCACAGTCGAAGCGCTGCGTACATGGGCCGCCTCACCGACGTCTACCACGGTGTCCTCGGTGTCTTTGACGTGCGCGCGACATCGTCGCCCGTGCCTGCGCTAACGCTGCCCCGAAGCAACACGCTGCGCGACCTCCGGGGGATCACGGACGCAGACGAGCCCATCGAGCGCTTCCACGTCACCTTTTCATCGGGCCCGCCGGCCATGCGCGATGGCGCCATGTACAAGACGTACTACATGAACGGGATGCTCTTCGACCCGAACGTGCGCTACAAGATGAAGCTCGGACAGCTCTACGAGTGGACGCTCGAGAATGTGCTCTCGGCCGAAGAGAAGAACCACCCGTTCCATATGCACACGAACCCGTTCCAGATTGTGAGCTCGTCGCACGGCAACGGGCTTGACCACTCGATCGGCGACTGGCGCGACACGATCACGCTGCCGTTCGGCGGCAACGTCACGATCCGGTTCCGACCCGTCGACTTTACGGGGCTCATCGCGGCGCACTGCCACATCCTCGGCCACTCGGACGCAGGCATGCTCATGCTCATCGAGATCCAGCCGTAATCAAACGATATACGATTATATATACGACTAGTGCCCGAGCGAGTACAAGAGGTTCTCGACGTCGTCGACGTTGTTCATGTACAGGTGCGCGTTGCTCGGTTTCTTCCCGACCGTGCACGTAAACACGTGCTGAAGCGACCCCGTAATGTGGAGCCGACCATCGTCGCCGCTCGTGTTCTGCAGCATCGACGCCTGGCCGTGGACGCTCTCTTCCGACCGCTCGGCGTAGTACTCGTATATGCACTTGAACATGCTTTCGTCCGTCGTGTCGTCGCCAATGCAAAAGATAAAGTCCGGGTGGCCACGGTGCAGCTCTGCGTCGCTCGAGAGAATGTGGCGCGCGACGACGCCCTTGTTGAGCCCCTCGGGCACGATCTCGAGGAGGCCCTTCTTCCGCACGATCGTGATCGGAAGGTCCTTGATGACTTCTTCGAGGTCCGTTTGGAGCGAGTTGGCCTGAATGAGACCCCACTCCGGGTCCGTCGACCGAAAGTTCCACGCAATGCCTTGGTCCATGTACCGGATCACGCTGCCGTTCGTGCGCGAGAGGTACGTGCGCAAGATCGGGTCGACAATCTCGCGGATCGGCTGCCAATCAAACTCGACACGGTGGTGGAACCACGACCGCGACGCATTGCTGTCCGACTCGTCGCTGCTGTCGGTCGTCGCGTCCTTGGGCTGGTAGTGCGTATCTAGCAAAAGAGACATCACTACGAGACACTTGACGGGAAAAAAAGAGAATGCAGTACCTTCTTTTGCGGTCCCAAAACGAATCGAGCGCGCCCACGAAAAGAGGGCGCCATTGTCGGCCGCGAGCCCGAGCCCGTCAATGTGCCCGAGGATGTTGGTCAAGTTGACTTGGCTCACGCCCGAGATGATAAACACCGTGTTGTTTGGGTCCGCGCACAGCTTTTGGAGCGACGCCATCATGCGCGCCGTTGGAATCTTGCCCGTGACAGCCGTAAAGTCCTTCTTCATGTACATCGAGATGTTTTCGCGCGAGATGATGGTGCCGCCGTAATCCAACAGAAACACGCGGCGCCGCGACGTCTTGTACGCATGCTGGACCTTGGCCACGTCTAGTTTCTGAAAGTCAAGGCTCGTGTCGTCGTCTTCCTCACTGCACTCTTGCAGAATCGCAAGCACTTGGCGCGTCCAGTTGGATGATGGCTGGCTCGTAATGTACGGCAAGTCGCGCGCGCGGCGGCCCATGCGCTCCTCGTCGCTCATGTTGATGGCGCGGTCGAGCCCGTTGACGACCTCGGAAATGTTCCATGGGTTCACGCGCAGACCGCCGTTGAGAACGCAGCAGCAGCCGGAAAACTCGCTTAAAATCACGACACCGGCCTTGCTGCCCGGGAGCGCGCCCTTGGCAAAGACGTACTCGAGCGGGTACAAGTTGAGGCCGCCGCGAATCGACGTCACCATGAGAATGTCGCAGGCCAGCCAGAGCGCGACGCGGTCGTGGAGCCCGAGCGGCCGCTCCGATTCTTCATAGTCGATGACGTCGCCGTGCGACGTCTTGATGCGCTGGACGAGCTCGCGGATCTCGTGGCTCGAGTACTCCTCGTCGCCAAGGCGCGCGGTCGAAAAGTGGCAGCGCTGCACGAGCACGAGCTTGTCCTTGAGGTTCGTGCACATGCTAAAAAACTGCTCAAACGCGAGCAGCTTGAGCGGGATGCCGCTGAGGCGCTGACACGGGTCAATGCCCGCAATGAGCTGCTTGCCCTTGTGCTTCTCCCGCAGCGCGGCGGCCGCCGCTTGCACCTCTGGGTTCATGAGCGCTTGACGGATGATCTCCTTCTCAATGCCGACGTGGCTGATCGTGATGACAACGTTGCGGCCCTTGTAGTCGACGCCGAGATTGACGCCGCATCGCGACTGGTACGTGAGCCCGAGGAAGCGCTTGCACGCGTTGAGGAAGTGGCGCGCGTGGTCAAACGTATGAAAGCCGACAACGTCCACCTCGAGGACGCCTTCGAGCAACGCCGTGCCGTTCGAGAGCTCGCGAAAGATCTCGGACGTGGGAAACGGCACGTGGAGGAAGAAGACAATTTGCGGCCGCGGCTTCTCTTGGGCCTTGCAAAGTCGACGACGAGCTTGGGCATCAAGAGAAGGTGGTAGTCGTGCACCCAGAGAATGTCCTTGGGCTTGCAGAGGTCCGCGACCGCCTGCGCCATGCACTGATTGACCTTGTTGTATGCCGCCCACCAGCGACCGTTGTTCTTCTCTTCCTTCCCGCTCGTATACTCGCCATCGTCCCAGACCGACGAGTAAATGTCGAGAATGTCGACGTTGTGGAACATGGGCCACAGCTTCGACTTGCAGTAGCCTTGGTAGTGGTCGGCTGCGACCTCGGGACTGATAAAGACCGCATGCGCGTCCATGGCCGTGAGGAGCTCCGTGATCTCGGCAATGTCGTCGTCCGTCATCGGCGACCCTTGGTACTCCATCGGTACGCAGCCGACCCACTTGACGTTCATGCTCTGCGCGATCGTGCCTTCCGAGCGCGCAATCAAGCTGTCCTTGTCCCACTCGGCGTGCCACATCCCGTCAATCTTGTGTAGATGGATCGGCAGGTGGTAGCAGATGAGAAAGAGCGTCGCGTCCTCGTTCGGCTTGTAGTTCGACGACGCGTGGCGCTTGAAGCGCGGCTGCATCTTTTCCTTTGTGCCACCTTGGCGGAACCGCAGCACGGACGACGAGCGCTGCATGGCCGACGCGACGAGGCCCTTGACGTCAACCTTGCCCGTGATCTGCGCTTGCTTGGCGCTGTGCGTGAGGACCTTGCGCATGTACACGATGCTTCGGTTGTGGATTTCCGACGTTCGTTGCAGCACGCTGTTGGGGTCGTACGTGCCAAAGTCTTCGGCGATCGTCATCTCGCGGCCCTCGGGCACGATCACGCGGTCCTGGTCGATCTGCTCCCACTTGGAGAAGGCGCCGCCGAGGAAGAGCGCGTACATATACCTATGAGCGATTCCGCGCGGCAAGATGAGCGGCTTCGACGTCCGCCAAATCGGGTATTCCTCGGGCGTCGTCACCAGTTCAATGCTCTCGCTCGGGTTGTACTGGCCCATCGTGTACGATGCGCCAGAGCAATGCAGCTCTTCGCCAATGCGCGTCTCGGCGCGGACACGAAGATGGACGCGCGTGTACGTGCCCGCGTTTGCGTCCCCGTCGTCGAGGAGCGCATCGTCGTCGCGCGGGAGGTCCAGGCGGGGCACGGCCTTCAAGCCTCGTCCCGACGAGCCGATCGAGCTGGCCGAGCCCACATGCGAGAGGCTTCCTCTCTCGGAGCTTGGCGCCATGAACGCGTCTACCTCGGCGTCCATGGCCCCTTCCGCGTCCCCATGCATCGGCGCGGACATGGGCGGCAAACGTCCGTTGAGCGTCCCGAATTCTTTCTCCTTAATTCACGCAGAACGTCCCCACAATTAATACATGCGATTTAAGAGGTCGCACCACCACCACATCCGAATTTCATTTGAAATAGGATTTATCCTATATGAACATGGCGAACCACGCCAGTAGTTCCTCGTAAACAAGGGTGGGATATGAAACGCCTGCCTAGTTTTGTTTTAAAAACCGTATACTTGTTTTTGTACTGTGCATTGTATTTTATGATGCCATCCGATACACGATGGTGCTAACAAGGCCTTGAGGCCCACGAAGCGGAACAAAGATAGAGGCTCTCAGTTCAGAGACCAGCCTCTGCTCGTGCGAACGGCTGACCAAAGATTGTCGATCGACGTACACCCACGGGTCCATACACAGTTTTTATGGACCCTTGGTACAGCAGTTGACCGCGCGAATATGGAAGTAATCAATGGTGCGCTCGCATGATTGCAGAAGCTGATTGCGTGGCCTGCAACATTCCGCCGACGACCTGCTTCCGTGGATGTACGTACGATCCATCTTCCACGCAGCGTGGATCTTCGACGTTTTTCCACGCCATCTTCGACGTTCAACCCTTGCATTAGGCCACGGCCATGGACGGATGCTGGCCTCTGAGAGAGTACATACTCACTCCTGTGACAAAGCCACGGCGTGCCGCTACCCTGAAGCTGCGCGCTTCCATGCAATCGTTGACGTCCCAAAGTGCACTGGTCCTTTCCAACTGCAACGCCCTGTAGTCCGCTCTGAAACTCGGCTGTATCCGAAATAGAAGCCTAATTAGGTATTTCCCGCGTGATCTTTGTGTTTGCTCGCAGATGAATCGCATAGATCATGCGACGCCGCAAAGAGATGCGTCGCTTCGATCTCGTCGGAGCTCGGAGCTCAGTTTTCCATTTTCGCTTTCGTTCGCATGTCGTCCATGTACCTGCGCCGCGTCCTCTGCGGCTGTGCCACCACCATGTTCGTCTCGGCCACCTTCCCCGTCGCGCTGCCCCACTCGGACCTCGCCCGCAAGGCCATTGGCGCCGACGCCACCAAGGAACTCGACGAGAACGATGCGTTCCTTCAGACGGCGCGGTCGATCGCCAAGCAGCTCGGCGTGCGCCACCCCGAGCACATTCGCGTGCTTGTCGACCAAGCCGGCGGAGAAGGTGGCGGCGCGCTGGGTGCGGATGTCTTTGGGCAGTCGGCGATTTGGATTTCCGAGTCCATTTACCGCGGCTTCCACCAGGCGCCATCCGCCGAGAGCACGATCACGGACCTCGAGGCCGACCCCGCACGCGACGAAGTCGAGTTCATTCTCGCGCATGAGTGCGCCCACATTGCCAACAACCACTCGCTCAAGATGACGTCGTTCATCCCGGCGTCCATGTTTGGAAGCTACGCGCTCGCGACCAAGGTGCCCAACAAGCTCCTCGGTGCTGTCCTCGGCTTTGGCCTCGTCGTCTTTGGCGGTCTCTATCTCTCGTGGGACATGGAGCACGAAGCTGACCACCTCGCGGCGTCGCTCGGCCAGCGCTTCCGGTCGGGTGGCCTCTCGACGTTTGAGCGATCGCGCGTCCGCAACTGCTTCCTGCGCACGTATTTCGACACGCGCATGATCACGGAGGACGGCAACTACCTCGGCGACACGTCGCACCCATGGCTCACGACCCGGATCCATCACTTGGAGCACATGCAGTGCGACGAGCACGACCACGCGTGCATCTTCTGCAGCTGGTTCTCGCAGACGCTCAAAGGCGGGCTCGACCTCGTGCGCGCCACGGTGCTCTAACCGCTGTATTTATGCTGTATTTATAAGAATAAGAAATTGCCCCGTTGACTGCTCTCTGTCCACCACCTCTTTGTCTCTGTCGTTTTGAGTACCTGCATAGACCTACGCTAGAGCAATGGAAGGAGCTGCCGACTGGCAAGGTGACCTAGTAAGGCTGTGTCAATGGACGCAAGGCGGACGCTTGTCTGGCAAGGGTACATTTGTAGCGCACGGCATCGTATGCACAGCAACTCCCACAATACACCGGCAATGTCGATTGAATGTAGTAGTGTACCCGTCTTTACGCCTCGCTGCTATTACTTGCCTTGTCCGAGGTTTTGTAAAAGCACAAGTCGTCCGACATGTTGGTGCCAAGCTCGCGAAAATGGCGGCTGACGTTCTTCATGACGTGGATCGCCTCCTAGCACATGCTGCCATGGGCGCCTACATGCGGCGATGGCACGCGTGTACCTGAATGTTCTCGGACGAGTACGTGAGCGACTCGTTGACGTTGTCCATGCGCACGTTGGCGTCGTGGAAGGCCGCTTGGCTGACGTCCCAGGCGCCTACCCGGGCCTTCTCGTGCGCGCTGTCTGTCCACAAGGTAGGATACTTCAGTTCAAGCATGCGAGGGGAGAACGTACGGAGGAGAAAGAGCTGCTGCTCGCGGGCGAGGCGCTGCGGCGGCTTCTTGGCCAGCGCCGGGATCGCGATCGAGGACTTGAGCGCCTTGGCCTTGGCCTCGACCGCGGTCTTGTTGAGCTTGTTGGCGTACTCGCGGATCATGCTCGACATCTGCGGGATCTGCGCCATGGGGGGCATGCCCCCGATCGCCGACGCCAGCATCGGGTCCATCCTGCTTGCGGCGAATTCCGGATAATTAGCAGTGTACGGATACTGATGCAGCAACCGCGATCTTCCGGCGGCGCCAACCAGCGCATTCGATCGCCCTGCACGTCAACACTGGTTACCAAACGCCATAGAAGGTATATCGTGTTGGTCTTTAATTGAAGTGTACAATGGAAACTCTCGAGTCTTAAGCGTGGCGCTGGCGAAACTCGACAAAGTCGTCGTTGCGTGTGATCGGGTTGAGTTTCAGATGGGCCATGTCGATGCGGTGCGATCGGAACGACGCGCCTTCGTCACTCGACCGGTGGAAGAGCGCGGTGCGCTTCTCCTTGGCGAACGTCACGTCCGGGCTGTTGGAGAGGTACCGGACGCCTTGGAACGTCGCCATGCTCGTGGCAAACGTGATGATGCCAATGATCGGGTACGTCGCAGGGTCCGAGAACCACGTCTTGACAATGGACTGGGTAGTGCGGGCGGCCGTGGCCTCGACCACTGCCGCCATATTATGGTACAGTAAATGCTGGAGGGGGCACCTTCAACGTGGGGCAACTTGGCGGGCCAGTTCTCAAATATACGCGACGGCTGCAAAGGTCATGCACACCGCGTCATCCGGATGAGACAATTCAAGGTGTGTCATTTTCCGGATAAACCAAAATTGCGTGTCAATGTGATGCCTGTCACGGGCTGCGTGTCTTTGAGTGCGATCTTCAACTCGGAGCTATTAGGATCTCCATTACAGGATTTACCACATACAACTACTACGCACCATGGCCTCGACCACTGCCACCCGCGCGACCCAGTCCATTGTCAAGACGTGGTTCTCGGACCCTGCGACGTACCCGATCATTGGCATCATCACGTTTGCCACAAGCATGGCGACGTTCCAAGGCGTCCGGTACCTCTCCAACAGCCCGGACGTGACGTTCGCCAAGGAGAAGCGCACCGCGCTCTTCCACCGGTCGAGTGACGAAGGCGCGTCGTTCCGATCGCACCGCATCGACATGGCCCATCTGAAACTCAACCCGATCACACGCAACGACGACTTTGTCGAGTTTCGCCAGCGCCACGCTTAAGACTCGAGAGTTTCCATTGTACACTAAACAAACTAGCATATTTCTACCTCCACTCAACAAGGCGATTCAAACGCTCGTCCGCTCCGAATTCTTTCATGTCCCTGCGCCCTGCTCATTAGTCGTACGGGCAATCACTCGATGCAAATCCTACAGACGGCTTTCAACCTTGCGACCAGTTAACGTCCAGTTAACGTGGACGGAGCGCTTCGAATTTGACGGTGAAACGCTGTCAACCGTCGTCGAGCGTCGGTCAGTTTTGACTTGAACGCATGGCCGACTCGCCCCAAGCGCTGCACGACCGGCTCGAGAAGAGCGCGTTTGCGTTCGAAGTGCTCGAAGCCGCCTACCTCAAGCTCGCCAACGAGAACCGGTCGCTCAAGGACGCGCTCACGACGATGGAGCTCAAGCTGCTCGACCAGTCGCCTACCGTGGTGACCGCCGAGCCCATCGACCTCTCGTCGGCTCTGCTTCAAGAAGAGGTCCAGGCGCTAAACGACCAAGTGGCGGCGTCTCAAGTCATCATAAACGCGCAAGAAGCGTCCATCGCGCGCCTCGAAGAAGCCGCACGGGTCTATGAAATGGAGCTCCTCGACGTCCATATGCAGCTTGAAATGAAATCGCTGGACAAAACACCGTCCACGGCCGACGACCAAGAGCCGCTCACATCGCCTTTCTTTGCCGTTCTTCAAGCAACGGTGCAAGCAGCGTCGCCTCCGCCACCGCCCAGTGGCCACCCTTACCGGCGAGCGCAATCACTGACGCGGGCGCCAATCCTTGACTCCGAGGCAGCGCACGAGGCGAGATTAGACGCAGCGCACTGGCAGCGCGTGGCGCAACGTACGTCGCAAGAGCTTATGAGTGCGCAGGAGGAGCTCGCTTGCCACGAGCAAGTCGCCGCGTCGCTCCGCCACGTTATCGAGCACCAAGCCACCGAGCACGCGCTTACGACTGCAGCCCACCGCGATGCGATCCAGTCGCTCAAAGAAAAGCTCGACTCGCAGCGCGCACGGCTCGATGTGCTCAGCCCCATGGAAGCGGCGCTCACGGCGGCTACGTCACGGCTCCGCGTACTGGAAGCCGCCGTGGCGACCGACATCCTTACCCAGCTCAACGAGAAGGACCTCGCGTTGCAGTCGATCCAAACCACGCTACGCCAGCACACGCTGCTACTGAACACACGAGGCTGCCACGAAAAGTCCCTCGCCGCGCAGGTGGCGATCTTTTGCAATGACGTGGCAACGCGTGTGCGCCAGCTCGTGCTCGAGACGGAGACACTCAAAGACGCGAAAACATCGCTGATGGCGTCGTCCGAGGCGCAGCTCCAGCGCATTAAAGAGCTCAAGGGTCAGGTCCAGGACCGGGACGCGATCTTGCGCGTGCTCCAAGTGCAAGTTCACCCGACACCCTCGTCACACATTCGGCCCCTCGACACCCTTCGCGCCAGTTTAAGCACGCCCAAGCTCCACCGAATGGCTCTAGTCGATTGATAGTCTATTGATATATACATACTACTATCTATCAATTGAAGAGGTCGGGCAAAACAAGCCCGAGCTTGGGCTTGGGTTGCGCAATCTCCTTGTGTTCGAGGTCCAGGGACGCCTCGCGGAGCGAGGATCGTCGGTCCTCGACATCGTGGCGATGCAGCACGCCCGCGCGGTCTACGAGCCGCAGCACTGGCTTCTCACGCACCTTGGTATCCCGGGCGGACTCGGCCACGAGCGCATCGCGGCGTGTCGTCTCGAGCGCTGACAGCACCGACTGCCCTTTGCTCCGCTCTAGCACGTCGGGGGCCATGTGGGCGTTGAGGAGCATTCGCCGTCGGTACGCCGTGATCAAGATAGGGAACGGCAAGGTCAAGTCGCCAAGCTTCCCCGCTTGGAGATCTACGAACAATATATATGTTGCGTGAGAGTAAGAAGGATGCATAGGCGGACCCGTGAAGAGCGTGAGGACTGAATTGTCGCCGTTGGCCGGCAATGGTCGGTGCCCGCGCTCCGTTTGCGGCCGAACTGCGACCTCGGACAGCTTCTTGGGGTCGCTGAGCGTGTACTGCGTGCGTTCTTTTGTCTTCTGCTTTTTGTCGTGCATCATGGCAAGGAACTCTTCAAAGTTGACTTCGCCGTCTTCCGAATCATCGACCGTTTGGATGAGCTTGCGCACGTCCTGCGTCACCACACTTGTGTGCGCATTCACACAGATAAGGAGGACGTACACTGCGGCACTTGGCCAGACCCACGGAGACGAGCGGGTCCTCGAGCTCGTCGATGCCGATCTCGCCCGACCCGTCCGAGTCGAGAAATTCAAACCATCGGCGCATGAGCACCATCTTCTCGCGCTCTTCCTTCATGCTGCTCGCTTTGCCGTGCTTTTGGAGCCACTGGTGGCAGCTCCACGCGAGCCCTTTTGCCGTCGTCTCGATCGTCATGTCGGGCTCCGGCTCGTCGATTGACGCCGGGGCACCAACGTTGTGCAGCGGCCGGCGTCGGTGCAGGGGCCGTCGCCGCGTGTCGATGCACGAGTCATATGTCGATGGCGTCTGGCTTCGTGCAGCACTGTGCTGTATGACGGGGTTGTACAGTCCGCGCTTGGGCGGTCGAGGTATCTACACGAGGCATGGAGCCCTTCGAGCGACATGCGAAGCTACCGTGAGGCGCTTTATGGCGCCATGCTCTGCTTGCGCTGGACGCAGCTGGTGTCGCACGTCCCGACGATGGTTCTCAAGGACGACGACGCTGTCTGCCGCGGGCGAGTACGCGTACGTGACCTTCCCGCAGAGCATGCCCCGCCTTTTTTTGGTCGACCACGGTGCCTAATTATAGCGCCACGTCATCCGATGTTCAAACTCGTGTCTGAAACCTCACACGACGTGGGCTCTACAGACCAAGTAGATTCGAGCGAGTAATTTTCAATCAGCATGGACATTATTGTCTGCTCACTGTGTGTGTGCGTGGGAGCGGTGCGGAGGCGGATCGTGGCGGGGTCCTATGCCGGATATGCCGGATAACGAGTCCACGTGGCTGGCGCGGTATCCGGATTTGCACGAGTAACGAGCGATACTATGGGCTGGTGGTGGACCATGGACGGGCACCTCCATGTCTACGCTGCTATCGGCGCCGCCATGGTCGCCAAGGCCTGCCAAGAGGCGTGGCTCGCCGCCTTCTACCAGTACGAGGCGCTTGCGGCCAGAGGTAACAGCCGGCGCGTGCTCGGCCGTCTGCGCTTTGGCTACTGGTCACTCTTTGGCTCGCAGCTCGCGAAACGCTGGATGCTATGGCTGCCAGGCCTACTACTGGTCGCATGGTGGGTCTGGAACCGCTACTTGTCTGGAAGCTGGAGCACCGTGAGTGTCGACACGGTCGATGACGCCGACGTGCCCGAGCTCGAGCCCATCGAGCCGACCAGCGTCAAGAGACCCGCAACCACAACGCCCAAGGCGACAACGACGACAACGCAGCGACAAAAGAAGACCTTGCTCACGATCCAAGACCAAGAGGCGTCCCAGAAGCGCAAGTCGGAAAGGGCCTTTCAAGCCCTCCTCGCGCAAAAGGCCAAATTCGAGCATGCGACCGTCGAGCGACCGTCCGGCTGGATGGTGTACGACGCGGCCGCAGGAAAGCTGGTGCTCGCCAGCGGCGACTAATAGAGCGCGTTTTGATGTAGTACGACACAGCATGGGTCGCCCGCACGCACTTATATTGGTTGCCACGTCTACAAGTTGTCGGAAATGAACTCCTTGATCGCCCGCTTGTGCATCGACACGTCCTTCTCCAAGTCGTGCGTCAAGGTTTCCATGACCTAATGCACTACTTAGCCACAGAGATAGCATTCTCGGAGGCGTACGGCCTTGAGCGTCAGCTTTTGGATGTCGCCTTCGTCCATGATCTTCTTGACCCGGTCTTGCAGATCCTGCGACAGGGATGACGGGACGGCCTTTTCTGATGACGGCGACGACTTGGGCGATTCCGTGGCTTCCGACGGCATCTTTTCCTCCGCTTTCCGCGCCATTTCCTCAAAGTCGTCCGCATCGCTCTCTGTCTCCGCTTCGTCCTCCTCAGGCTTCTACGAGGCAGTCGTGTTGGGTGGACGGGATACCCACGTGGGAGGTGCACCTTCTTGGCCACGCGCTTCTTCTTCGCAGCTGGCTCGCCCTTGACCTTGGTCGCCTTGGTCGTCTTGGTCGGTGCCTACCGCAGCGAGGTCGACGAGATTCGAATCGCGTATGTGTCTACCTTGCGCTTTGTAGCCGTCTTCTTTGGGACAGAGTGGGAAATGGCTTCGTCGTCGTCCGTATCTTCCGAGGACTCATCGGCAACCTCCTCTTCTTGGGCTTCTTGGACGCCTTGGTCGTCGTCTTAGCCGACGTCGCCTTCTACATCGCCCGTGTTAATCAGTCGTTGCCTGCGTTGGTCATGCCGACCTTCTCTTTGCCTTGGGCGTCGAGGTCGCAGACTGCTTCTACACGTTGTGCGATAAGACGCGGGTTGAATAGACGCTTCTTTGTACGAGTTCAACGGCGAAGGGTGCTTCGAGCCAATCCATCATGCGGTTCACCAGCTCGTCCTTGATCGGCAGCAAATTCTTCTCCTTGAAGGACTTGGGCGACCGCTCAATCTAAGGCGCCGTCGGTCAGATGCATTCGCAGCGTTCCCAGACCGTACGTGCAAGAAATCCATCATGTGGTGAATGAAGCCCATAGTCCCGCGGCAGAGCTTGATCGCGAGCTCGTCACGGAACGCTTCCCGAGCCTACGGCAGCGCATGAGATATCGTTAGCGATAGAAGGACCATGCAGTTTCTTACGGCGTCGTCCTTGAACGTGGGGTATCCGCTAAAGTCGAGGATATGCTCCTTGACGTCCTTGATCTACGACGATAGCGGGATGAGATGGCAGCGACGTGGACCGCAGGCGTACGATCGCAGCCGAGTAGCGGCGCGAGTACATGACTTGGTAGAGCTTGGTGAGGAGCTCGCCGTCCTTCTTCGTGCACTTGGCCACCTATCATCCAATCGTGTTGAGTCCCAATCCCCATCTTTGCGCGGACCTTCTCGGCGAGGTACGGGATATCGCGAAGCTTTGTGCCAGGACCGACCGGCGCCACGAAGGCTTCCTCGACCTTGTTCTCGGAGGCGAGCGAGAAGACCGCAACGGGCTTGCGCGAGCGTTCGCTGCGGCGCTCGCCGGGGATCTCGTCGACCTTGGTCTTGGTCGAAGCGCGCTTCGTCGCCTTCGACGCTTCTTCGCCCTTGGCGGCCTCCGGCCCATGCTCTTCCTGCGTCGTCTCCATGTTCACGTTGGTCTCTTCCACTGCGGTCGCCGTGCTTGCCGTCTCCATCGCCTGCCTTGGTCTCGCTTCCGACTGGCCGATTCGAAAATGCAATTTCCACCAATCACACGCGCGCATCGAGGCGCGAAGGGGGTATCCGGCTGCCGGATAAAACACCAGATGAAACGGAAAAATCCTTGGGTGGGCACAAAGCGCACCTCATCGTGCAAAAGGCGCACCTGGCACATGGTTGTTCGGACGTTCGCTGACAATATTCTCCATAATTCCAACTGCCTTCATTCCGACTGTCTGTACGTGTTTATTCTATCCTCAGCGCGATCTTGCGATACTACTTCAGAGTCCTAGCGTGCGATCAAGAAGCCAAGATTGTGTCGACAGTTTGCAATTGCGCAGAGTCAAGCTCGCGTCTCGGCGAGCTCTTCTGTTCTACTAGCGTCATCTATTGTACTCATCATGGTCAAATGTTGTCTGCTGTCTGAATGGTTAAGCGGGGTGGACACCTTGAGGCTCCGAGGCGCTGATGTCTTTGGCTCTACAAGGGCACACCATTTCAACAACCCTCTGTGTTCTGTGTTCTGCTGGTGCATGGTCCCAGTGCGTGCTGAGTCTGCATGCATGCGTGTATTCGTCCGTGGGCCCATCCGAAAGCAGTTAGAGTCGATCCTGCACTGCTGTTCAACGACATCGAATAGAGCGAAGGAGGCTGGTTTACTGTTGTTGGTTTGTGCATCGGGCCAGGCTCCACCACTGCTTTCATCGTTTGCACGTAGTGTTGCTATCTGATAATCCTCTGATGTAGCTCACGACAGCGCCACACCTTGCCGTTGAAGCGTTCGAAGGTCATTGCGATCTGCAGTCGTTCAGTTTCGCCGCAGTGTCGAGAATGGCGTCCTTGGATTGGTGCGTTGGTTGCTCGACTTTTGGCCAATGGCCTTTGACGTGCCATTTCGACGGCAGCCTTAGGCGAGGATGATGCTGCTCGGGGAGAAGCCGCCCCATTTGAGCCGCAGCTCGAGCTCGCAGTCGACGACGTGGACGGACTCGACGATCCACAACGACCTCAACGTCAAGATCGAGGTGAACGCGAGCACGCTCTCAGTCGACGCCACGGGCAGCGTCGCCGTCCTCGCCGCTCGGAAGGGCCTCTACGTCATCGACCTCGAGTCGCCGTACCAGCCGTCGCGCACGCTGCACCATCAGGTATTAGCCCATCCTCTATCAGCGCATGGCTCATGCGTAGCGTAGACCAAATGGGACGTGACGGTCGTCAAGTGCAACCCGCACGTGCTCTACAAGGGACTCGTGGCATCGACGTCGAACCACAACACGCTGCTCTGGAACATTGACCACAACAACACGAACAACGGCTTCCAGGGCGTCCTCTCGAGCCACCAGCCCCTCATTGCGACGCTGCGCGCCCACACACGGCCCGTGAGCGACGTCGCGTGGTCGCCGTCCGAGCCCACGATCCTCGCGACGTGCTCGGCCGACACGAAGACGCATCTCTGGGACATTCGCACGCCGCAGAAGCCCGTGCAAACCCTCTGCGCGTTCACGACGAGCGCGACCCAAGTCGAGTGGAACCGGCTCGACCCGACGTCGCTGGCGACCGCGCACGACGGCGAGGTCCGACCTCTCCATCCTCGTCCACATCCCATCCTCATCCTCATCTTCGCCTCTCTAGGTACGTGTGTGGGACACCCGGTCGTGCGACAAGCCGACGGCCATCATCACGGCGCACATGCAAAAGATCTACGGGCTCGATTGGAGCCCCAGCAATATGCACGAGCTCGTGACCTGCTCCGAGGACAAGACGGTCAAGTTCTGGAACGTGCTGCGGCCGCGCGTGTGCCAAGGGTCGCTCGCGACCGGCGCACCCGTGTGGCGAGCGCGCTACACGCCGTTTGGCGACGGCCTCGTCACGACATCCCATCGCCAAGACAACGTGATCCGCCTCTGGTCGCTCAGCCACGAGAGCAGCTCGATCGAGGCCAAGCAAGTGCACGACTTTGTCGGCCACCGAGACCTCGTCAAAGGCTTTGCGTGGCGCGCCCACGACCACGCGTTCCAGCTCGTCTCCTGGTCCAAGAACCAAGAGCTCCGCATGTGGCACATGGATCGAAGCCACCTCGAGGCGTGTGGGCTGTTGACGAACAAGACGCTGTTAACGACCGAGCCCGAGGTCAACCGCCGGTCCGAGACCGCCCACCACGTCTTCAAGTTTGATTTGGCGTCGCTCAAGTCGGATTTTGTGCCGCTGGCGCTGCCGACGACCGCGGTCTCGCTGCAGTGGAACCACCAAAACGTCCTCGCGTTCGTCGATGAAGAGGACGACGAGCTCTTTCTGTCGCCGCACCACAGTAGTTCTGCGTTGCTGACAGAAAACAACGACGATCTGCCCGGTCACGATGCGATGGAAGACGCCAAAGCGAAAGGCGCGCTGCCGTGCCCGCGCATGTCGGGCGCGTGCTTTAGCGGGCCCAACATGCTGGTCGTCTTTGACTCGCGCGTCGCGATCGGGCAGTCCAAGCTCTTGCCGTCGTCAGTGGCGACAACCATTTTGCCCAAGACGTACGCGGGTCTTCAAAAGCTCTCGGATGCCACGAGCGGCCTCAAGAGCGTCAAGAAACCGACGGCCGTCGAGATGGACTACGCGTGGGACGCCCACCCGGACATCCTCACGATGGACGACGAGATGCCCCACGACGAGCACGAGTACCACAGTACGCACATGGAACCCCACACGCCGCGGTCGACGGCGCTGCGGATGCTGCCGGATTACATGGAGAACAACGCGACGCTGACGCTGAGCGTAAGCGTCTCGCTCTTGGATTGCTCGCGTTTTTGCGGCGAGTTTGACTTGCCGCTCGCGAGCTGCTCGGCCCAAGCCGCGCGCGCGCTCTCGGCCGGTCAAATTGAACTCGGCCAGATGTGGTCGATGCTCGCCATCTCGTCGACGGCAACCGAGCCGCCCGAGACGCTGCTCACGCCGTGGGCCGCCCACCCGCTCGGCGCCTCTCTCGTGCAGCACGTGCTCGAGCTCTACGAGAAAGCAGGCGACGTGCCGACCCTCGCGGCCATTGTTTGTGCGCTCGACGACGCGGACAAGAACGTACAGCCGGCAACACCGAGGATCGAACCCATTGCCTTGAGCGCCCGCCCGCCACGGCACCCGACAATCGAGGACGAGAGCACGCCGAGGCGCAAGGCGACTGCGTCGCAGCACTTCGCAGCGTCGCCGCACTCTGCGATCGACTCACCGTCCCGGTCCACCTCGATTGACGCCTCCAAGTGCGTACTGGTCTTTTTGCAGACAGAAGGCGCTCATGGAATGTAGCCTGCGCAACTACGTGCTGCCCAAGAGCCCCGTGACGTCGGTGCTGAATGAATCGATCGCAGAAGACGAACGCGAGGTGCCGGTGCTAGCGACAGCCCCCACCGAAGGTACGGTACAATACGCTCTTGAATCAAAGACATGGCGATTGTAGAAGCCGTCGTGCTGCTTTCATCGGCGGCAAAGGATCGAGCCCGGTACGACCAGTACAAGACAGCGTATGGCGACGTCTTGTACCACTATGGCGCGCTCAACACGCGCTGCGAAATGCTCAAGCACCTCGAGACGACGCCGGCGCCGCACGAAGGCCTCACCCTCGCGCTGTACTGCCACGCCTGCGGCCACGTACGAAATCTCCTTTGGATTTGAAGCGTCTTATCGGAAGGATGTCGCTGGTGGTGTAGCCGACAAGCGACCTCTACTGCGCCCAGTGCAAGGACTTTTCTGTCAAGTGCTCGGTCTGCGAGCTCGTCGTGCGCGGCGAATCGATGTATTGCGTCAGCTGCGGCCACGGCGGCCACCGCACGCACTTGGCGACCTGGTTCGCCACCGAGGTGCGTCGCCCTACTTTTCACGTGGCTCATCAAAACGAATTTATGCAATGTAGAGCGCCTGTCCGACGGGCTGTGGCTGCTGGTGCAACCAAGCCAAGGACGCGATGGAGTTTGCGCTCACGTTGTCGCCGCCGCCCACCGCGTCGACATCGCTCCTGCGGTCCGTCTCGTTTTAAGGCTAAGAAATGTCTCATATTTAAATACTTTGTCCGTCGCCATCCGTGAAGCAACCAAGATGCGATCGAGCCCCGGGTTGCGAGTAGAGCGACGACGCCGTTCATGAATCTCCACGACCAAAAGCCCACGCCAGTGATGAAGAAGGTGGCTGCGCTGGCGAGAATGCCGTCTTCTATCCTCTTTGGTGGGCTTGGATTTAGGAAACGCTACGACAGACTTGGCCACCGGCGCATTGACGCATGCTACGCCATTGGACTTGGCATGGACGGACCTTGCTTTCGAATCGCCTTGAAACATTGAAAGACATCTCGTCCGGGAAGCACTGACAAGGTGGCAAAAGCTACCAGTATAATAATGATTTAGAGGACCTTTGCTCCAAGAGCGCACAGGCGTTGGATTTCGCTGGCCACGTCATAGGCCACTTGCACTGTCGCCGACGTGATCGCAGAGGCGACGTCGATCAGCTGACAAGCCATCGCCGACGTCACTTGCGCCAATTGCACAACTACAGACGTGGCTACGACCCAGGCGGCCGCGACAACTGCCATCCCTGTTTGCGACGCGGCTACGATGACCGCCGACGTCCAAACGCTCGCCGCCCACATCGCCGCCCACACCGCAGCGAGAAGTGCGACCATCGATGCATAGACCGCCACGGCATGGTCCGAGATGCGTAGGTACGTGTACGCAGCTCGCATCGCAACCGCAGCGGCAACGAGACCACTCCAGACTGCGCTCGAGATGTACTTGGCTGCTCGCCACACACAGAGCGCTGTCGCGACCAGACACTGCCACGTGGCACGCGCAAGTGGCACAACATATGCTTGAAAAAGACTGCGGACGACGAAGTACAGTCGGTAGACGGCGTCGAGGAGCCACACGACACAGCGGTGCGAACCGCGCCATAGACGACCGCACGCAACGAGGCAGCGAGCGGCAACGCGCAAGCCGGTGGTAGCAAATGCGAGAAGAAGCCGCCGACCACCGATGCTTGCGTGGTGCGAGATGGCCATGACTGTGGTTGCCAATCCGTGATAGAGACGCAGGAGGTGGCGGGCGGATACGCTTAGCACCTCGAGGACCGTGCGGCCGACGTAGCAGACTGCAGTTTGCATCGCACGAGCGAGCGGACGCAGAGTGACGTCGCGTGTTAAGAGGAAACAAGCGTGGAGCTTGTACACCGTTGCCAGAAGGACGGTGGCGGCGATGTCGACGGCATGGTACACGACGCAGTAGTAGACGTGCAAGATCGGTGGGGCCAGCGTTTGGACAAGGGCGCAGCACAAAGTGTAAAGCTGTCGTAGGACTTGTTGGAGCCATGCGAAGCTGCGTTCAACGACCGTGCATGTGGCTACGGCGAGCGAGTGCAGGTGTGGCAGGACAATATGCATGCAGAGATGATAGCTGACATTGCCGAGCCACGCGAGTGTCCCCTGTGCGCGGTTGACGAGGGTATTGACGAGACACAGTACTGTGGCTGTCGCCCAATACCACGCAGAGACGGCGAGCCCTTGGACGTAGGCGATAGCAGCTTCGATGCAGTGCTTGATTGCGACGAGCGCTTCGATGGCTTGGTGCATGGCCGCAACGATGGCAGCTTCGAGCGGCAGCAGGACGTACGTCGCAAAGCTGGTGCGTAGCCATCGTGTCGCCGCCAACAACAACGTCCACGACCACTGAAGCGCGCGCGTAATCACATCGCGCAGCAGATAGGCACCAGGGACGATGCAGCCCCAGTAGAGCACGCGGGCAAAGTGTCCGAGTCGGTCGCGGGCACTCCAGAGCGATCGTCGAAGTTGCCGGAGCAGCAACCGCAAAAAGGCGAGCCCCGGAACCAGCCCATGCATGTAGAGATACCGCGTCGCGCGTCTGAGACGGCCGTGCGCTTGGTGCAACAGCAAACTTGCTCTTGAGATGGCAGCGAGCGTAGCAACGAGCCCGTGGAGAAAAAGAAGATCGCGGGCAGTGGCTATCGCGTGCGAAGCTGCTTCACCGGTTCGCGTGTACGCTGTTAGCACCGTGTCGACGCCGGCATCGACAACAGGATACGCTGCTTCGGCGACCGTCAGGATGACTTGTCCGAGTGGGAGGCGGCGGCGGTGGCGAAAGACTTCAATGCAGCGCCACAGGAGGTCCGCGCCATATCTGACAAGCCGTTCCGTGCAGAGAAGGACCGAGAGGATGAATGCAAGGCACGAGACGCGGAGATAGGTGACCGCATCTGGGATCTGCTCGGTGACTACGTGCAGGCACATCTATTGCGTCCTGCGTTGGTCAGTCGATAAGAAGCTCTTACCACACTGATAGAGGTTGGTATAGACGCGAGCTACGATCGCTCGTGTTCTTGCCACCGCGGCATCGACGGTCGTCGCCATCACACGTACGGTCGCCAGCCACAAGGCATGGATGGCCTGGAGAGCGCGCCACGTCTGTCGCACGAGAGCGCGAGCCGATCGCCACGCGAGATGAAGGGACGAGATAAGGACGTTGACGGCGCCTCGGACAAGTGCGTGGAGCAGCAGACAGGCGAGCAAGATCGGTAAAAGCAGCAGGACGAGCACGCGCGTGCTCCATGTGGACTGCGACCCAACGCTCAACAAGGCGAATGGCGCAATGACCTTGCTCCAAACACCATGTTGAGGTGGCGATGATGGCACCTGGTTGGGTCGGAGTATGTTCAGTTGCTCCTAGGGCAACAAGCATTCGATGCGTTGTCCATGTGAGGGTCGGAAGCGTACGTGGAGAATGCTGTCGGCGGGATGGAGCGCCAAGCTTCGTGCAAAGTCCGAGGTCGCCTTGTCGGTTTCCTACCATTCCTTTGCCCCTAGCCCACATAGCTTGAAGGAAGCGTACGCCAAGGTGCAAGAAGCACTGCCCGCGCTGCTTCAAGCCGTCAGCGTCCGAGGGATTTAGGCGGAGGATTCGCGACCAGTCCTCGCTCGCAGCTTTCCAGTCGCGACGGGCCATCTTGGTCGTCGCCGCTTGTCGCAGTTGGATCTCAAGGTCGTCGTACACCCAGCGCTGAAGAAGCGTGAGGAGCACTGCGTGCAGGGCGACGGTGCTGAGAAGACTGAGGCCGCCAGCGACGCCGTAGATGGCCGGCGATGTGTACGCTGCAGTGAGCTCGCTTCGCCAGCGCAGATGGTAGGCGAGCGGCAGCACCGGGGCGGCGCAGACGTGGCGCAGCCATCGGAACTCGTCGCCGGCGTCGTTGGTTGCCATGGTGTCAAGTTGAAGTCTGCGTACCTGACGCCAGGATGATAAACCGCAACCGCGCGCAAGACCATCATTCTTGTCGACAACGCAGCATACATTTTCTGTTTTGTGGAACACTTTTCGTTCTTGGAACATTCTTTGATGGATTTATGCATGCGATCTGCGACATTGAGCCAGCGAAAAGTTCGATGTGGTGAAGCAGCAGCGGCGGGGAGAGAGTGTGTCGTGGCTCGATCTAACTGCTCGCTTCGCCAATGCGTCGTTGGCACGTGAAGCTGGGGGCCATGATTCGTTGAAAGGATAAAGCTGTGAGTACGGAAACCGCATCCCGTTTGTCTTTCGGTGCTGTTGGAGCTTCAACGCAAACTCGTGATGTCAAAAAGAACGAATAGTGTACACAAAATACAGTCAAATCACACTACGACAAGACGCTGCAGCTCGATGGCTACGTCGTAGCTGACTTGCACCGTGGTTGAGACACCCACCGATGCTGCGTCGATGAGCTGCACGACGAGCGCCGAGACCGCGTGAGCCACCGAGATTGTCATCGCCATCGCTGCTTGCGACGCGGCTACGATGACCGCCGACGCCCAGACGCCCGCCGCCCACATCGCCGCCCACATCGCAGCGAGAAGCGCCACCATCGATGCATATACCGCCACGACATTGTCCGAGATGCGTAGGTACGTGTACGCAGCTCGCATCGCAACCCCAGCGGCAACGAGACCACTCCAGACGGCGCTCGAGACGTACTTGGCTGCTCGCCACACACAAAGCGCTGTGCCGACCAGACAGAGCCACGTGGCACGCGCAAGTGGCACGACGTACGCTTGAAAAAGACTGCGGACGACGAGGTACAGTCGGTAGACGACGTCGAGGAGCCACACGACACAGCGGTGCGAACCGCGCCATAAACGACCGCACGCAATGAGGCAGTGAGCGGCGACGCGCAAGCCGGTGGTAGCAAACGCGAGAAGAAGCCGCCGACCACCGATGCTTGCGTGGTGCGAGATGGCCATGACGGCGGCTGCCAATCCGATATAGAGACGCTGGAGGTGGTGGGCGGTGGTGGTCAACGCCTGGAGGACCGTGCGACCGACGTAGCAGACTGCAGTTTGCATTGCACGAGCGAGCGGATGCAGAATGACGTCGCGGGTTAAGCCGAGCACGGCCGCAAGAGACCAAACCAGACGATGCAGCGTCCAGAGAAGTCTGCAAAAGAGAAAGATACCGCCAGCGCATACGTGGCACCACGCGGGCGCGACGAGGGAGGCGTGCACGGAGTCGAGGCCTGTATGCAGACAGATCGCGATGACGTGGAGCGTTCGGAGGGTCGTATGGAGTCCGCGGAGGAGAGACACACCGGCGCACCACACGGTTGGCGCAAGAACGTCGGTGCCGAGCGCTCCAATCTGCGTGGCCATTCGTGCCGTGTAGCGCATGGTGTAGTGCCCGCCCGCAAGCGCAAAGAGGCCGGTTGCCACCAGCGCCGACGAGAGTGCGAGCACGGCAAACGCGCCCGAGGCGTACGCCGCCCACGCCGCTGCTCGCACCAAGGACCGGCCGGTGTCAATCGTTTGTGCGAGCGCTGCCGAGAGCAAGCGAACGAGGCGCGAGTCGATGGTCTTGGCGCCGACAGTCCCCAGTGAGTGGCACGCGACAGCCACCGAGAGGTAGGTGTCCTTGGTCGCCGTGGTTACTGCAAGAGACATGCTGGTAAGATACAGTCGGCGACGCTAGCAAGACGTACGCTGAAGATAGCTTTGGGCGAGGAGCGGTGTCGCGGCGTCGACGACGACACAGAGACAAAGCCACGCTTTGTGGCAATTTCTCAGCAGCGCGTCGGCCAGTGCAGCGGCAAGCTGAAGCCATCGACGGCCGAGGCGCAACGCAGCGTGCAGGACGATCACCATTGTCGCTACAAGCAGCTCGGTGGTCGTCCGTGCGAGTATGTGGACGGCGAGGCAGAGCAGCAGCAGCGGGAGGACCAGAATCGTGATCGCGCGAGAGCTCCACGAGGCGTGCACGCAGCGCTTTAGAAAAGGCCGCACGACCCGCTGCCACGACGGTGACCGATACAGTCGCTTTGGCGCAGCAGGCTCCTACACATCGTATGAGTGGCACCGGAACAAACAGGCGCAGCGGACCGAGGTGACAATTGGGCGCTGGCGTCCTGCCGTGGTCCCGTCGGACACCTACCCATCGCATACATGATGACGACACCACATCGATATGACATGGTCGTAGTACGTCGAGCGCTTCCAAGCAAAGCGCGCGCTGTTCGTAGGCGTCGGTGTCGGCGGGGCAGCCGTCGAGGACGCGCGACCAGTGCAAACTCGCCGCCGCCCAGTCGCACGCAATCATGCTCTCGCGCGCCATGCGCCGAGCCGATATGACATCGACGCGTGGGCCAAAGCGGTCGACGAGTGTCAAGAGCACGGCGTGGAGCGCGACCGCGCAGAGAGCCGCGAGGGCCGAGGCGACGCCGTAGAGGGCAGGGGGCGTGTACGCCGCCGCAAGGTCGTCCGAGTAGCAGAGGACGTAGGCGATCGGCAGCGCCGACGTCGCGCAGAGGTGCCGGAGGCTCAGCATCACGTTGTCGACGGCGTCTTTGGCGCCGCGGAGAAAAGCCGTCGACCGCCACGTTGCACGTGAAACGCAAGGCGCACCCAAGTGCAATTGCACCTACACTCTGGACGCATTTGATTGGCTGCGGCGCGCCCAATCTCGATCCATCGAGTAGCCACAGGAGTAGCCAAGTGCATTGGCCCGTGCGATACCGCAGCTCAGTCGTCGTGACCAGGTTGAGAAATCACTGATAGCTGCTGTCCTAGTCAATACTAATTACTGGTAGCGTAGTAGGCTATGCGCAAATATGTCGAACGAGCCCTGGCATGGCCCAGGCGTCTGATTCGACCCATTTTACAGGTGCAAGGCGGTTCGAGGAGTAGCAAGAAGACCTCTCCACTTCAGGTTGGGACTCTACGCAGGGCAGCTCGCTGGGACCTTGCCGCATTCATTTTCCTGTAGTACAACGGTAGCTTGCGCCGTACCGGTAGGCTGCAGCGAATAGGCAACTTGGTCTGTGCACCGGTGCACCGTCTTGCGAGCCAACAAGGCTTGTTGGCTCGCAAGACTCACGGTAGAGCCCGTGAACCCGCCTCATATTGTGACCTGATGCATCGAAAACCAACTTCATTGCATTCGTGTACAAGCTACAATCTGCTACGACGACGAGCGGGACTGAATGATGCGGTCGACCTGGTCGCGGATCCAGTTGACGACGTCATCTTTGGTTTGGCCGCCGTTGACGCGGACCGCTTCCAGGTTGTCTTCAATGTCCTCCTTCAACCGGCTGCGTTGGCGCGCAGTCATCTTCGAGGTCTCTGCCTTGCTGGAGCCGTGCATTTCGGTCGCCATGAGGTAAAACTTGCCGCTCGAGAAATCGATGCCGTCGAGCTCCAACTGCTGCCGCCACGTATCGACGATGGGTGGGATCATGGGCGACTCGCCCTCTTCGAGCTCGGTCGCAAGGTCAAGGCCCAGCCCCGCGACCTTGTTGAGACAGAGAAGGACGCAGTCGCAGCCATTGAACGCGCTGCGGATGGCCGCCGCGGGCAACACGTGCGGCGTCTTGTCAAACTGGAGGAGGCTAATGCCAATGGTGCCAACGCCGTGGAGGCCCGCCGTGTACTGCGCCTGGACTTCGTTCAACGTGTTGTTGCCGGGTATGTCGATGAGGTAGACCTTCCGGGTCGGGTCGTCGGCCATTGGCGCGTAGCGCAAGAAGCTTGGCGCTGTCTTCGACTCGCGGGCTTCCTGTCGCGTGCTGTTGAGCGCTCGAATGAACCACGACTTGCCGACGTGCTGGTCGCCATTGAGCACGATAAAGACGATGGCTTTGCACGCCTCTTCGAGTCGGACGAGCGTCTGCATCACCTTCGAGAAGGCGGCGAAGAGCGGCCGTTGCGTCGCATCGTTGGGCAGCTCGACTGCCGCCAGCTGTGTCTCCAAGAGCCGCGTCGTCAGCGGTGCGTCATGCAGGCCCATGGCGGATGCCATCTTCTTGAGCTGGTCCGAGTAGGCGCTTGACGCGGTGCGGAAGGACTCGGTCTTGAGATGGATCGCAAGCGCGCTCCACGAGGCCCCGTAGCTGCCATAACCGCCTGCAAACAAGGCGAAGAGCGATCCTAAGAGTTGCCCGAAGGATGGCCCCGTCGACTTCGTCGAACTGAACCGTGCCGCAGCGGCGCCGACGAGGGTTCCAGCCACCTCGACGGCACTACCGGTGGTCGCGGCGACACACCCCACAGCGACGGCCCCCAGAGCAACTGCGCCGAGCCAGTAGGGCCATGTGGCCGGGCTCTTCTGCATCTTGACAAAGTCTTCCGCCAGCAGATTGGTCATCAGCAGAACGAGGTCGGGCAGCTTGTGGCCAATGTTGGCCTCGTTGAACGTGTGCACAGCATTCATGTACGCAGCGGGCGTGTCGGCCGGCGCGATCGCACGGATGCGCTGCATGAGGTCGCGCCACGGCTGCATGTCGAGTCGCACACTCTCGTTGACCTCGGCCTCGGTCTTGTCATCTCGACCGAGGCGGCGACCGACGACGAGGTACGCTGCCAACTCATCGCCAACGTCTTGGAGGATCGCGTGGACGCTGTCATCGCCAAAGGACCTCAGCATGACAGCGGCGGTGATGGCGCGGTTGAGGCGGACGCACAGCGCGTCTTGCGGCATCTTGGACGGCACCATGAACTCGAGGGCCGCGCAGAGCATGACGCGCATGACATGTTGCGAGAGCTGCACGTCCATGGCTGGTACCGCGACGCTGCTGCGCGTAAAGAAGCGCTCGTACGCGGTTTGAATGCCATGCGCGTTCTTCATGTCCTTGATGGAGGTCATGGCTTGGAGCTGCGCCTTGAAGGCGTCGCTGCCGTTGTACTCGACCGGGTTCGATGCCTCTTCGATCGAAATGCGGGTGCCGAGCACATGGCTTGTCTCGCGAAGGTGGATCCAGTTGCCGAAGTAGACATACTCGGAGAGCACGAGGCTCGTGTGCTCGGCCGCCGTCGCGCGCACGCTGTCAAGGTCGATGCCGGTTGACCACCGCAGAAGCTGCACCCACGCGCCCTGGATGCTCTGCACGCGATCGACGATCGCAGACGTCGACGAGAAGAGGGCAGGCACAATGTCATTCTCGGTGTAGTACGTGAGGAAGCGGTCGCCGGCCACGAGGCTCGTCTGGCGTCGGAGGAACGGCGTCGACCCAAACGCGACGGACGCGACCTTGTGGCTGGGGATGTTGTCGTAGTTGGGGTTGATGCGGAGGCTGTAGTGGGCGACATGGGCGACGCTGCCCCCGCGGCTGTGGCCGCAGAGAACCACCTTGCTGACGGCCGCGTCTTTCAAGATCTCGCGTGCGACGCGCGCGAGGCCGAGCTCGCGCGCCTCGAGGTTGAAGCCGGCGGGCGCGTCGCCGTCCTGGCCCTCGACGATGCGCGTGCTCGCGATCGCACAGTTGGTGACGTGATCGCGGGTCGTGTTGGAGCCAGTGACGCAGAGGATCACGACGGTGCCGATGCTGGCGACGATGCAGCGGATCTTGTCGCCGTCGAACTCGATAAACGGCGTCTGGTCACTGGCCTTTGGCACACCGAGCGCGCTCAACGTGGAGGTAAACGCAGTGAGGACACGGGACTTGAAGTCGCCGTCGTGCTCCTTGGGCTGGCGCGACTCGTAGCTGAGAATGCAAAGGCGCATGGCCGCGTGGACCTCGAAAGCGGAGACGACGTCGGTGGCGCTCATGCTTGTGCGTGGTGCCATGCGTCGCGTTCTGGCAAAGGGAAAATGATGCTACCGAGTGACGAATGGCCGGTGCAAGAGTTGGGGACTGTGGGACTTGAAGCGCGGGTTTTCAATCCTCGGCTGTGATTGGCATGAGCTCGGTCTCGCACTGAAAGGCCACGCAAGAGAGATGGGAAAGCGCCGTACACTTACACGTCCTGTCAATGGACAGGACGTGTAAAAGTTAGGAAGCGGATGGCGTACTTCCTGTCTCATCGATGCGTACATATTCCTAAACTGAACATGGTTTGACCGCACACAACACGGCGACAAGCTCTATTTTAGCTTGTGTCTCGTCCCGGGGCTTCCCGGACGAGATGTCTTTCAATGTTTCAAGGCGATTCGAAAACAAGCTCCGTCCATGCCAAGTCCAATGGTGTAGCATGCGCCAATGCGCCGGTGGCCAAGTCTTTCGTTTCCTAAATCCAAGCCTACCAAAGAGGATAGAAGATGGCATCGTCGCCAGCGCAGCCACCTTCTTCGCCACTGGCGTGGTCTTTTGGTCGTGGAGATTCAAGAACGGCGTCGTCGCTCCACTCGCGACCTGGGCTCGATCGCCGTTCGGCCATCTTGGTTGCTTTTAAGGATGGCGACGGACGTTGTTTTTAAATAGGAGACATTTCTTGGCATTAAAACGAGACGGACCGGAGGAGTGATGTCGACGCGGTGGGCGGCGGCGACAACGTGAGCGCAAACTCCATCGCGTCCTTGGCTTGGTTGCACCAGCAGCCACAGCCCGTTGGACAGGCGCTCTACATACCATAAATTCTTTGTCATGGAAGAAGGACGACGCACCTCGGTGGCGAACCAGGTCGTCAAGTGCGTGCGGTGGCCGCCGTGGCCGCAGCTGACGCAATACATCGATTCGCCGCGCACGACGAGCTCGCAGACCGAGCACTTGACAGAAAAGTCCTTGCACTGCGCGCAGTAGAGGTCGCTCGTTGGCTACACCAACATCCTTCCGATAAGACGATTCAAATCCAAACGAGATATCGTACGTGGCCGCAGGCGTGGCAGTACAACGCGAGGGTGAGGCCTTCGTGCGGCGCCGGCGTCGTCTCGAGGTGCTTGAGCATCTCGCAGCGCGTGTTGAGCGCGCCATAGTGGTACAAGACGTCGCCGTACGCTGTTTTGTACTGGTCGTACCGGGCCCGATCCTTTGGCGCCGACGAGAGCAGCACGACGGCTTCTACAATCGCCATGTCTTTGACGTCAGCAGCGTATTGTACCGCACCTTCGGTGGGGGCTGTCGCTAGCACCGGCACCTCGCGTTCGTCTTCTGCGATCGATTCGTTCAGCACCGACGTCACGGGGCTTCTTGGCAGCACATAGTTGCGCAGGCTACATTCCATGAGCGCCTTCTGTCTCCAAAAAAGTCCAGTACGCACTTGGAGGCGTCAATCGAGGTGGACCGGGACGGCGACTCGATCGCAGAGTGCGGCGACGCTGCAAAGTGCTGCGACGCGGTCGCC